TTTGTCACTAAGCATTTCTTATTTTTTAACAAGTTTCGAAATTGGAAATATTAAAAGAGAATTAGATTTTTTTAATTTCACAAATTTCAAATACAAATGCCATTCTGTCCCTTATGAACAAAAACACTTCAGCAAACTATTTTCCAGATTAAATAACCTTGAAACTTAAATGATGTTGATTAAAAAATAATTAGTTATCAGACCTTTTATCTTTTTTAATATTATTTCACTTTTAGATTATTTAAAAATAAATACATTGAGAATGAAATTTAGTTGTTACAAGTTTTATCAAATTCAAGATCAATTCTTTTTCAATTTCCATTTTGTATTGTCACTAAACTTATGATACATTTGATATTAACCAGCCATGATTTTCAAATGCAAACTATTGAAAAAGTAAATACTAAGAAGGTTTCAGAGTATCTCTCCTAACTTTTTATCATCTTAAATTCTTATCTCAATTGACAAACAATTTTAATCCCATAAGCTGAACTCTTAATTGATAAAAATGATTGACGTAGGTTTGTACACAATACGGAAATTTTCTCAAAAGTATTCCCTTGTTTATCCACTGAATAATCTCAGAGCCATGAAATATAAAAATAATAATTTTTTTAATGTTCAATTGTTTAAGATATTTCACGTGATAATTTCTTCTGAGTACAGATTTAGTTAAAATAATTCAATGATGAGTTGATTAACCATTGTAATTTGTAATTAACCGTTTATGAATGAATTGAAAACTAATTAATTTTAATAAATGAAGAAATGGTTTCATGTCTCTTATTTTATTACAAATTTATTCTTTTTAACGTTTACTTCTTGATTGATGAAGATGCAAAAATAGAAAATTCTAAAGATTTAAAAATTTTCACTTTAGTGCTTCCATATTTTTGTAATGATGGATTTGAATCTAAAAAACTTCGGGACACTTGTTGGAAACATTTCTTAAAAAACTGAGAGAGCTTTTTCGCATTTGTATTTATTAAGGGGTAAATCATCGTAATGTTTTTACCGGCTGTCTCTCAGTGATGCTTCGAAAAGCACTCAAAAAGTGCTTTTCCGAAAACATGACCAGTTTCCAAGAATTTGATATGTTTTTCTTGGAAATTGAATGGATTTCGATGATTTACCCCTTGGTATTCATTATGTTAGGCACATTATTCTCGCTCTCTTTTTATCAATCAAGAAAGGAAACAATGATACTTTTTATGGTGATTTTCGTTTCCACGGGACAAAAATTTTAAATGTATAAGTATTGTATCTAGTACCGTTTTCTGTTTACAAGTATGACTTATGAATGGCATTTCATATTTAAATTATTGAATTTATAGCATGCTAGCGCTGTTTTTAATCGAAAAATTCGAATGAGAACAATATAAATAAATTTCTACACATATTTCAATCGAGTAAACACACACTGGCAAAAGTATTTGACGCGAGTTTTTTTTAATTCAAAATGCATATTCGGTCACAACGAAAGATATAAAAATACATAAATTAACACTGAATTTAATTAGTATTTTTGTAGTTGTAAGCTTTGAACTGTATTATTTAATTTAGATTTTTATTTTCCTTATAGACTGTATAGTCTATGAAAAAAAAGGCACATTCCACTCAATTTTTCATTCAAATTTTTCTTGTATTTTAAATATTTTTATTATTTAATATGTAGTCCTCATTTTAAAGTATTTAAAAACTTTCTTCTCAGTAGTTTAAATCGATATATTACTAGAAATAATCATTTCCAATCGTTTAAATTTCTGTTGACTATTCAACTACATAAATTAATATAAAACCGTGAACACTTGGAAGTAACGATTTATTCGCGACACGAAATTTTATTTAACAATTCTTTTCGCCATGTAGGTTTTAAATAAAAACTCTCGTTGCTATCTTAAGAAAGTGCAAAATAGCATTAAATTGTTATTGTAGATGTTTCAGGGAGAAAACTCAAATTTTCCGGCTAGGGACATGCGCAGTGGTATCAAAGCTTAGGAAAATAAAAACATCTCTGGCAACCCTTGATGTAAACATTTCCGTTAATTTTTCAATCATTTTAAGTTTGATAAAGATAAATATGCACCAAGTTTAAGCCTAACTGAAGCTGCTCAAATTCTTTTTCCTATTTATTCTTTAAAGGTGATTTTTGGCTTTAATACTTTCAATTTTTTTCATATTTTAAATATTTATAAATAATCTCAATAAATGTTAATTCCGCTTTTTGAATATTACAGGGAAATAATATAAATACAAATGACTCACCCATATTATTGTTGGCAAAATGTTTCTGTAGCTGTTGCTGAAGTGCTTGATGATGAGCAACGAGTGGCGTATGTGGCTGCTGTGGAGCTGTCACATGTCCTAATTGATGTGCTGATAGTGAGTGCGAAACTAAGCTTCCGTTTTGGTTGCTATTGTTTATGATTTGTTGATTCTGATTGTTATTCACATTCAGAGGTGAAATTAAATGCGCCGATTGGGACGAAGGCACACTGATTGCTGAGCTATTAGATATCATACTTGTTGGGCTGATTAGGACGGTAGAGTTTGTTGGACTTGTGTATGGTATCTCATCATCTTTAATTTAGACATTACAAATAAGAAAATTTCAAGAAGAAAAGCATAAATAATTAATGCAGAAATATTAAACTTTCGTTTTGTAGTTCTGTTGTTTTGAATGATTCAATGAATGCCCTAAATTATTTTATAAAAATATTAACATTGACATTAAAGTAACATTCACATTGACTCATCATTCATGCAAAACATTTTTAAATATATGTAGAAGGATAAATTAAAATATTTACCGTAGCATTAAGTAAATTACTACATGAGTGCAAAATGACAATTAAAAAAGATAATGCAATAGATAGTGATATAATAGATAGAATTAGTGAGCCCTTGATAAGAGATCCTATCGATAAGAATGTTTCCTCGATGTAACAACTAAATTTCCAGTCCTTTCAACTGTCTTCTAATCAAGGGTTGACTGTATTTACTTAGCGTTTAGGTACAAGTATAAAGACAGTAACAAGAAAAATATGTATTAAACTAAATTTGCCCCTTAAATCTATCAAATATTTATTGATCCGAGTGAAGTGAAAAAAAAACGATTTGGATTAGAAGTGATGAATTTTCTTTTGAATATTGATCAATCAATTTAAAAAAGTTTAGAATACCAATTTTCAACTTTGAAAGTTATCAAATGCAATGTAGACACTAAGTATATTGTCAAAATAAAAATGATTCAAAGAAGTCGTTTAACAATCATTATGTTGATCCAAAGTGAAATATATCAATTCGTAATTACCTGGCTCTAATATCGTTGTCATACTTTCTGGTAGAAGAATACCTTTTTGTATCAGTTCTTCACGATTGGCACGCACAGAAATTTTACGTTCTAGTGCTGAAAAATTTACATTTGAAATAAACTTATAAAAGGTTTCAGTAACAAAAAAATTCAAGCTGATTGGCTTTATCAAATCTATTATTCAAAATATTTTGAAGACTCCCAAACTCCCATAAGCATATTTTATTAGCAGTAGTAGTTAACAATTTGAAATTAACACATCTTAAAAGAAAGCTATGTTTAACATCCATTCTTTGAAAAATATTATGATCAGAACATAAACCAAAGAATACTTGTGCTTTAGAAACAAATAAATTGATTAGGAAGAAAATAAACTTTATTTAGATATGTGAAAAGCTTTCGAGATTTGTTAGAGTAAATCGACTTTTTTAGTGTCAATTTATTTTTACATATCTAATTTATATTTTTCCAAATAATTTTCAAAAAACACAAAAATATTAAATATTATATCTTTGAAAGTTGCCCTTTTAAATAAAATCTCTAAGGTGATATTTTCATATTTTTGAAGATTACTTTTGTATGCTTCAAAGTGACAATCTTTATAATTCGATGTACTCCAACTGATAGTATGAGAGAAAATATTTAATTCGTGTGAAAAGTTATGATTTTAATCTGTGTGACAGAAGAATAATGCAAATATGCGTGATTGTTTCTGGTGATCTTTTAGTAATATTTAGCTTTGGTAAAGCAATAAAAAATACTCACATTTTGAAGCGGCTTCAAATTTTTCACTTTTCTTTTTTCGGCGCCACTTCCAGGGTTTAAAAAGACGCCCAAGAGCACTGAATTTACTCTTTCGTTCTAGCGGTGGAGTTCTTATTCCTGAATTCAAACTGGTAGTGCGAAGCGTTGTTCCATTGTGTTTTTTCACTGAAATAGATATTTAAATATTTATAACATTTTACAAATAAGTAAGGATGCAAATTTTCAATTGTATCAAAAATTAATTAAAATATTTATTAAAGAATTAAAACAATAAGATAAAGTTGAACGAGTAGATATGCGCAATAGTAAAAAAAGATGATCACTTTTTTAATTGAATTTTACCTATAACACTACTTGCAGCAGCCACATCTTTAGCAGCTTGAGCAACTGCTGGTCCAACTTGAAGGATATCAGATAGAGATAGCGATGATGCTATCAATTGCCGTTTCTCTTCGAAATTAAGATAATCTAACGAATTGCTTCGCTGTGGCGTCACAGTAATTGTGACGGATTTTTGCATGGTTAGAACACTCTGCTGATAATCATTATGCTTCATGCTATCGTCATCGACGTTATTATTAATTAATGACATTTTTAATGTTTTTTCTGTCTTTCCACGAGATTTTGTTCCTTTTTAAAGTTTTTTTTTCTGTCAACTTATTGGATATTATTTATCACAAAACTGTTTTGCTTTTGATTTACGTTTTGCAATAAAACATCTTATGCTGATCTCATGAATGAACTTCATATTTATCGTTACTTGAACTTTACGACAGAAACTTTATTGAAAAAATATGCAGATAAATTTGTTCTATTTTGTAATGTTTTAGTTTTTTTTAATTAAAATTATTTTGGCAGATTTGATTAAGTAGAATTCACCTTCACAAAACAGATTGGTACGAAATATTTTTTTGACACTGGAAACTATTATCATATTGCGTCTTCACCATAAAATATAATTATTGTTAATGATGTTTTCTTCGAATTTAACATATTTTATTCATAAATAATATTACGCAATAATTTTGGAATTCTTTTCGACATTTTGCAGTGCAATATTTTTGGCATTTTCTTGCTTTTAAAAATACTTATCAGACACGCGTCTTTGAAATCAGCATTGATAGTCTATGCAAACATTTTCAGTGTATTCGAAAAACTTATGTGAAGAAAGTTTGAAGTGTAAAATTTATCAAGACATATCATAAAAATTTCTTTGCATTATCTTAACATGGAACTTTAAGCACCTACAAAGATATTAATTTTTCTGATCAAAAGAAATAAGATTTCTATGAGATCCATGTTAATATATGTATGCACAATTTACAAAGAGATAGACATAGTCACGTAAACTTGGGTGACCCAATAAATTTTTATTAAATGAGCTTGTGGCTTTCACGTTTTTGTTTAGCAAATACGTATTTATGCGCGAATCTTGTAGTGTTTTGTAGAAATCGACACACAAAATTAAATTCCAATTTATCTTTCATCTGGTGTTGTACTGTTGAATATTATTTCTTCTTGAAGCTTTACATATGACGCATCGTGTAATTCTATTTCATATCGAATTCAATTATTTGATATTTATTGCTCCAGCCCTCTTGACGATGCTTATAAAGAAATTCTTTTTGTAATACTTAATTCATTTCGATCATAATAAAAAATAACAAGTGGTAATAAATAAGTAAGTAGAATCTTATATTGCATCCTTTTTTGCAATTCAACATTGAAGTATTAGTAAGATTCTTATTTCCTGTATTCGATTCCCATTTTGAAGCACCAACATTCGTCATTGTTATCAAGTCGGAACGGTTTTCAAAACATCACCAAATAAAAAGTTCTTCCAAGCACTTGTTTTTTAATTGTTAATAAATGCTTTTTTGAGACCTTTTCTTCATTTCAGGTAGATGATATTTTTGATGTGATTATGTTTTTACTACGTTTTGATTTCAAATGTTTTAAACTCTCCTTCTCTCCCAAACGCCCCTTAACAGAAATCATTTTTGATTGAAGCTTGGAGAGTAAAATATCTTTTTTAACTTATTTCAGGGACTTTGCATTCGGCACTTTTTCATATATCTGTAAATATCATGTATACGTTAATTAACTATGATAAAAAAAAAGAATACTGGTTACAAACATAATATATAATGTATAAATGGATAAACAAATTTACAAAAATTTGATTTAAAGATAAGAAAGAAAAACTTTCGATATTTCAAGAAACGTATGTGAATGATATTGTCTAAGAGTAGTGCTGAAGTTTTCTTTTTTAATAGGAAGAGTACATTATGTATCTTAAAATTACAATAAGACATCATTTTCTATTTCTCAAGCATATTAAGAAACATATGATAATTAATCTTTATATATCATATATTATTTTGCGTAAAAAATATAAATATGTAGACATTTTTTGATCACAACATTTCAGGATGACTAATTTTTTTAGACGAATGTATCAGAATTTTCGCAGCATCTTTGTTATTCGTCATTTGGATTCATTATTTAGTTTTATAATCTAAACACAAACACTGATTAAATATTATTGTATCTGCTAATATAGTTTGCTTGAATTTCGAAGAAAACATCATCAACAGTAAATAAAAAATAAAATATTGCAACACAAACTTTTTGTTTAAACTTGACACAAAAGTTTTCTTTTTGGAAGTTTTTCATATCGAGTAAAAGTAAATTGGACAATGCTTCCAGATATTCACTATTCACAACATAATTATGCTTTTTAAAACATTTTTGTAAGTTATTAGAATCACAATTATTAATTTCAGCCTAAATACAAAGATTAGTTATTCTGTTCCGTTTCCATATCGTTGCAAAAACTTTTATAAATGAATTTTCGTCTTATTTCAGTTCATTCAAAACGCATTAGTGAGATCAGTTATGATTATATCTATATTAATATCATTGTTTTTCAAAATATAGATCGAATTTTAAATATTTACTCGTATTTAGAAAGGATATATAGTTATATCTAAATGAATAAATTGAAAACATTTTTACCTTCACTTTCAGTTTCCAAAGCCTCCTTGGCAACTAAAACAAAAAAGAATAAACAAGATAAAACTGCAGTTCTACATTTCGATAAAGATATCATTACAATTATTATCTTATATTTAAAGCAAATATATCCCAGCATTGTTCAAGCAAAGTGCGCCACTATAATTAAAACCTATGTATAAAAAAATTGATGTGCTCAAAGCTAAACGTCTTTTTGTTATTAAATGTAGCTAAAGACATAACATATGTTTTTGCATAAATTTAACAACGAAAAATTTTCTAAGTTTTGAAGTTTCTGTAATTTTCTATAAATATCAAATATTTATTTCATGTTTCTTTCTTATTAGATTTATAAAAAGAAATTACATTATGAATAGTTTTACAAGTACTTCCCAAAGCAACAAGATCTTTTTTGTTTAAATAACGTATTATTATGGGCAAAATAAATTCCGAAGTTCCAACAAGAGATGGATTTGGGAATTTCAATGTCAATTCTGAATATATCTTATTACGCAGTGGTAAAAATAAATTATTTTTTAGCATAATCGATAACTCTTTTAAATTACGGAATATGCTCGGTAAATTGTTCAAATTAATAGCCTTAATAACATATCGTGAGACAGGTAAAGCAAGGCAACTTGTTGATTTCAAAGTACGATTGTCATTCAAATAAGCAGATAATATAAGCAAATCACCAGAATCTACACTTAAAACTACAATTTCGTTATTCGGACTTATACTAAATTTAAATTTTAGAATCTTTGATGTGTTGTTATTTGAAAAATCTATTGGTAAATTTGCAACGTCAAGTATAAGTCGCCGATCAAAAGAATAACTCCAGTTGAGTGCATAATTTTTTAAGACATCATCACAATAGCACCAATCACCAATGAAGCCAGTTTCCAAAGCCAAAGCAACAACAAGACAATTCATCACATTATATTGTGTGGGAGTTGCTCCCTTTAATTGTATTAACAATTTCCGTAGGTGTGATGGTATAATTTGTAGGGTAGATTGATCAAGCGTTAATGTTGGTTCATCTAAAAATGACCAAAATTTAAATTTTGTGTAATATAATTAAATAATTAATGTCTGAAGATATGTAGGAAGGTGTGAAAGAAGGATAGCAATAGCATACAGACAGAAAAATTGATTAAGATAGAATATTTGTAAGACAAGTGTTTTGTTAATGTTAGTAAGTGATAACACTCTTCATTCTGAATCATATGATAAAGCACAGCCATACTTAGCATAGTGTACATATTGGAAATTTATCACAGTTAATGAAAAACCCTCGTCATTGATGACTAATTCTGTATTTTTAACATACTGAAGTTCTTTTAATATTGACTTCACTATTTTGACACTATATTGACTTACTTTCAATTTCTTCATCGTCCATATGTTCTTGTGGGCCTGTACTAACTCTCTGACTATCTGAACTTTCTATTGATCCAGTCGTTTGATTAGATTCCATTTCGATTAAAATAAGATCAAAATAAAATATTAAAGGTTGAAATGAATTGAAGTTTTTCTGAACAGTCCTGACGTAAAACTTGTTTGAGTTGAAAGATTTTATGGTTTGCCTCTTCGAACAAATAACAAAAACAACATGAAGTTAAAATGTTCGCTATTTATTATTCTAAGCACTTTATTTATTTCATCTGTCAGCTCAAACGATGAGATAGCAGCAGAAAGAGGACTTAACTGGTATGAATCCTTGCCAGCTGTAGCTATGGATTATAAAATTCATATCGATGCAGGTATGAGATAAAAAAATAAATTTTATTCCACTTTCTCTTATAAATTTCAGTTTTTATCATTAACAATTGATATCATTTTAGGAAAAGAAGACTGTTATCACCAATACGTAGCACCTGGAGCAACATTTTATGTATCCATGCAAGTAAGAAATATTTTTTGATCCATCTGTTGCATTTACCGATTTGTTATTATTGTGTCTACGTGGATTTTTTTAAATAAATAATGTTGTCATGAAATGAAATTTGAACTAAAACGTTTTTGATAATTTTAGGTGATTCGTGGTGGTGATGGTATGGCAGGATTCGCTGTTAGACATCCTTCTGGACAGATGGTGCATCCTTATCAATGGCAAGCGCAATCAGATTATACTGACGGGCAATCAACAGGCGGTTATTACAGGTAAATAAAGAATATTAAATTAGTTTTTAATTTATACAATAATTTAAGACTTTGTTGTTTTTTATCTACGATGCATTTAGTATTTGTATCGACAACCAATTTTCGAGATTTGCCAGTAAGCTTGTCAACATTTACATAACTGTCGTGAAATATGATGACTGGGAGAAGTTTACAAAAGAGATTGAAGATATGAATTTGAACATAAATAATTTCACACAAATCATTCAAACAGTAGATTCAAATGTTAATCTTATGTAAGTAAAGTCAAAAGCAAAATTGAAATACATAATGACAAAATAAATTTATTTTTGATTTTAGGGCTCAATATCAAGCACATTCTCGAGCGAGAGAGTCAAGAGACTACGCTCTAATTAAGGACAATAATTATTATGTTGGGACATGGTCAATGGTTCAAATATTGGTCATTGTTATCACTACTTGCGTGCAAGTTTATTTTGTTAGAAAGTTATTTGACATCAAATCAAATGGTTATTCTCGAAATCGAATATAAATACCCTAGAAAACGAACACATTATGATGGGTTGAGAAATTCAGAAACTATATCGAACAAAAAAAAACTTCATTCGCTGCTTTAAAAATTTAATTTTATATTTAATATCTATTATTAAAGCGTCTTGAACAAAAATAAAAACTTCATTCCTTTTACAAAAATTTCAAATTTTGTTTGTCTGGTCTAAAATGATTTATTTTATTAAATAATTATCTCCATATTATGATTTTACATCGTTTGCGATTTTGAAATTCTTTCGTCAAAACTTAAAACTTTATTCGCGTAATGAATACAAGAATTTTTTAAAGTAGGTGAATTCGCAATAGTAGGTATATGAAACAAAATATCTAAATTTGCAGAAACAAAGATCATTAGTTTTGGTTTGGCCGAAGAGTTGGAAGAAATTAGAAAGTTCGGAAACTTTTAATTCAATTTTTAAATAATAATTTAATTGCTGACATCAAAATATGAAAATGTCAATTGTCGATTATTTTGTTTTTTTGGAAGTCACTCGCGTTAGCTTTTTGATTTTGCAAAAATATGAGTGATAAGGTAAAAGTTAGTATACCTCGAGTTAAATATTTAAATAATAATCAAAGTTTGATGGCGACTGAGAAATATCAAAAACAAGAAAATTTTCTTAATATTAGTGTCTTAAATCGTAGATATTTATTTTTGAATGAATTCAAAATGTTATCAAAATAATGATGACTTCTTTTCGATTCTCTTTTAAACACAATTGATCCTTTCAATTCAATCCGTCTCATGAATATAAAATATAGAAATTGCTGGCACTATTAAGTAGAAATCCTTTCTCAATATGAACGGGATGAATGACTGACAAAAGATATAAATAAAAAGAAGCAAAGAGAATAATTTAAGTGGATTGATGCATAGACAACAAAAAAAAATCAGATTTTAAAGCCTTTGCGGCTGGATGAAGATAAATGACATGAAAGAATTTTGTGAGTGAAAAGCAAAATGAATTTAGGGATTTGAAGCAGCTTGAGACTGGCAATCGTCAATTCTATTTTCAATTGATTGAGCAGTTGCTTCTTTAATATCCTCATTATTTGATTCTTCAATTTTGTTGCATCCGCCAGCTGCTTCACCCTGTAAATCTTCATCCTCAATCTCTTCTTCAATAAGCTTTCGGGCGAGTTTTATTGCGCTTGCTTCATTGTAGTGAAGTTTACGACGTTTCTCAAATTCTATTCGTCGTGCTTTCTCTTCTTCTGTCTCTGGCTGGTCATCCTCTGACGAATCTTCACAATGAATCGAAGCTCTTCGAACAGTTTCTGCTGTTTCACTAGCAACTTTAAGCTTTTCAGCTAATAAATTTGCATCTAGTTCATCAACTTCAGCAAGTGCAGGGTCAATATAATTGAAGGGTGTTTTAGGTTCATCAACCTTCATGTGCCCATAATCTTTATCTGGCGGATGATACGTTTGTAGAACATTTAATTCATCAAATTTAGCACTTTTTCTGTTATTGCCTCCACTAGAAAAAAGAACTTTTAACTAAATCTGTACAACAGTGTATGACTCAATTTTCAAATACTTACCCAGAACCGCATTGCTTGTCGAAACTGGAAGATTTTAGGATACCTTTACAAGGTTTTTTAGCATCAGGCGAATCCGAATAACCAGAAGAGGACATTTTTGTGTGTATGTGTTAACAATAAATGATGTATTTTCTGTTTAGACACGAGTATAAAATGAAATCTACAGAAAATCGATGTTAAATTTCTCAAATAATTTGGTCTTCTGCTTTTATTAAAGTTGTTTTCTAAAGAAAAAGAATCTAGAAGAAACAAAAAGAAAGTCAATTCACGGAGTCAAATTTTTGGTATATTTATAGCTTTTACTTCCTAAATTTACTAAATGAAAATAAAAGTTTCTTTTGCTTAACTTTTTATTTTCAATCATGGATATTGAAAATATTTATTCGAATAAAGGATGCTTAGTAAACTAACCAAAACTTACACAAAGATTAAATGCTACTCTTTCGATTCAACAATATTCATTTTAGAAAAATTCTCGATTTCAATTTATTTTTCGGTAATTTTCAGGAGAATTTTTTTCAGTAAATATTTTTGCAATTCCTTTAGAAACACAAAGTTCAAATTTCCAGAACTCATTCAAATTTTGCATCAAATTAAAATTCCTTTAAAAATAATAAAAAATAATTTTCATACAAAAATGAAAGTGCGGATAACTTATTATCAATAATAAGTAATGCATAGGTAATTAGATATTTGACCATTAAACACTAAATTAATTAATTTATTTCATTGAATGTGCTAATTCATTTGAAATTTAATAATAAAAATAATTTATGCTTTTTGTATCAGTTATTAGGTGAAAAACTAAAAGGATTCAAGAGGAACGTTTAGGAGCGCTGAAATATAGAAAACTAGAACATTGTACAAATCTTAATTTAGTTTCTCATGTACATTTATTGTTCTTTTAAATGTACCACATGGAATATTTCAATTATTGATTTTATCCTTTACTTCTTGGCTGCTTGGCCAACCTTTGCTTTCTTTGTACCACGGACCTTCTTCATTCTGTTCTTACGTTCTTTTCGCTGTTTACGAGTGATTCTCTTAACTTCGTACAGGCCATGACGAGCGAGACGGTGTTTTGGTTCAAACTTTTTTGCAAAATCCAAGGTATCGTAAATTAAAGCGAAACCAGTTGATTTACCACCACCAAAATTGGTTCTGAATCCAAATACAAAAACTGTGTCAGCAGTGACTTTATACATAGCAGCTAACTTGTCGCGGATTTCTTTTTTAGGAATTGATGGTAATCCTGGATGTAAAACATCACACACCATTTGTTTTCGGCATAGCAGACGATTTGTCATAAACTTTCGGGTACGAATTGTTGCAGTCGACATCTAAAATATAAATTGTAATTAGAATATTGTTATTAAGAAGATTAATTAAAATTAACCGAGCATCTACAAAAAAGTCTTATTTATAGGCTTTATACGAATTCTTTTGAAAACACGTGAAACATTTTTTTCTTTTCAAAACAAACTCTTTGTATCAATTTATTGTAGCTTATTTTGAGCTCTTTTCGTAAAATGTTTCGGTGCGAACTTAGAAAACTTTATTTTAAAGCATTAAAGGTAGTTATTACACAAATAAATGTAAATACTTACATTGACTTGAGCTTCTTGCTAAAAGTCTCCGAAAAAAGAAAGAACCATTAAAGGGTATAGAACTACATAGGAAATGCTAAAACTAATTTTTTGAACTAAAAAACGTTACGAAATAGCAACACATTTTCTTAAAAAGTATTTTTACTTAATTTTATACCTATGTATGTTAATTTTTGCAAGAAAGTAGTAGTTAAATTTATATTTATGACTACTTGGATACAATAATGTAAAACAAAATATCAAATATTGCTGTTTTTTCACACAGATAATTTTTTATCTAATTTATCTAATGTACATGAAAAAAGTATTGCCATATTGATAACAACATCTTGTTGTTTTCTTTCCTTTCGAAGTGCAAAAAAAATTGATACTCTTTAAGCATGGCTCTTTTCTCAACACTTCATTTGAAAAAACTCACAAGATTGAGTCTTAATGAGCTTTTCTACAGACCAATTTATACAACATCGTCAATGGTAAATAATTTTTAAGTGACCATATATTGCATAATAATTTTTGCTTCAAAATTTTTCGTTTTAATTTTCATAAAAAACCATGGTTATTTTTTAATAATTTATTATGTTGTTTGTGAAGTGTATGGATTTAATGATACTTAAGTTAAAATTCATTCATCATCGTATTCCTAAAGTGAGAGCCTTAATTTTACTCTCATTTCATTACAAAACCGGTTAGTGCGATAGTAATTATTTCCATTAGTATATGTATCAAATCTTCATTTGAGATTTTGACGTCGCAAAGTCACTTACTACATAAGTTAATATTATCATAAATACTGTGTATTTTTTTCATTCTAAACTTTGAACGATAAAAAAGAGTTTAATGATGGTGAAAAGAGATAAAAAACATAAACATTATTATTAATTAATCTTTTCCTGTTTTACTCCTTTGTAGGCTTCAGGATTCAGAACTGAATCAGATACTTTTGGTGAACTGAAAGTCCCCAATGATAAATATTATGGAGCTCAAACTGTACGTTCTACAATGAATTTTCCAATTGGAGGGCCAACTGAACGAATGCCTGTAAGTAGAACAAAAGATTTTGTACGCCTTTTAACTCACCTTTTCCTTGACATTTAAGCAACCTGTCATCACTGCTATGGGTATTTTGAAAAAAGCTGCTGCACTCGTGAATAAGGAATATGGTTTAGATGCGAAAATAGCTGATGCCATCGCACAAGCTGCTGATGATGTTATCTCTGGAAAACTTTATGATGATCACTTTCCATTAGTCATTTGGCAAACAGGTTCGGGTACACAAACCAACATGAATGTCAATGAAGTTATCAGTAACAGAGCAATTGAAATTATGGGAGGAACGCTCGGATCGAAAACGCCTGTACACCCAAACGATCACGTGAATAAATCTCAAAGTTCCAATGATACATTTCCAACAGCTATTCATGTGTCTGTTGCACGTGAACTTAATGGAAGTTTGAAACCGGCGTTGCAAGGTCTTCACGATGCTTTGAATGCAAAGTCAGTTGAATTCAAGGACATAATTAAAATTGGAAGAACTCATACTCAAGATGCTGTTCCATTGACATTAGGACAAGAGTTTAGTGGTTACGTGCAGCAAATGAAATTTGCACTTGATCGTATTGATGCAGTTTTGCCACGCGTCTATATGTTAGCGCTTGGTGGAACTGCTGTTGGAACCGGTCTTAATACTCGGATTGGTTTTGCAGAGAAGTGTGCATCAAAAATATCAGAGTTGACTGGACTTCCATTTGTAACAGCACCGAACAAGTTTGAAGCTCTTGCTGCTCGTGATAGTATGGTTGAAGTTTCAGGATGCTTAAACACAATTGCATGCAGCTTATTTAAGATTGCAAACGATATTCGCTTCCTTGCTTCTGGTCCTAGGTGTGGCTTAGGCGAATTAAGTTTACCCGAAAACGAACCAGGATCATCAATAATGCCAGGAAAAGTCAATCCAACTCAGTGTGAAGCAATGACAATGGTTTGTGCACAAATCATGGGTAATCATGTTGCAGTTACTGTTGGTGGAGCAAGTGGTCATTTTGAATTGAATGTTTTTAAGCCCCTGGTAGTGTCAAACGTACTTCGTTCAATCAAATTGATTTCTGATTGCTCTCGAGCATTCACTAGTAATTGCGTTGTTGGCATTCAAGCTAATCGTGAGAACATCAACAAGATTATGAATGAATCTCTTATGTTGGTCACTGCATTAAATCCCCACATTGGTTATGATAAAGCTGCCAAGATTGCAAAAACAGCACACAAAGAAGGCTCAACACTTAAAGAAGCTGCAATTAAATTGGGATACCTTACAGAACAGCAATTCGCTGATTGGGTGAAACCTGAAGAAATGTTAGGCCCAAAATAAAATGCAATTATTATGATTATATTATAATTAACATGAAACGAAAAAAATGTTCGTAAGAGAATTTGCTGAATAAAAAATAACAGTCAGTTTATTTAAATAAATCGTAACTGCACACCCCCAATACTATTGCCCGATTCGTAGAAAAAAAATTTCCCGTACCTCAGTGTAATAATAAAATATAAAATTTGTTAAAATTAAGTAAATAATTGAATTCAGTGCTTAACTTTTTCACAAGACATTTTGAATCATGTCATATGCGTATTTGTTTAAATATATCATCATTGGTGACACAGGTGAGTGCATAAATCTAATTTTGTTTTTTCTTTGTTTTTCTATCGATTTTCTAAATTTTCGTAAGTCGAAAAAATATGCTATGAAGTTCTAGGTAATAATGATTCTTACTTTCCCTAAAAATACGAAAAAGATGGCATAAAATTATGAGTTAAACCTCTATTTATTTAAAGAATTAAAGTTTCGAAGTGGTACTAAAAAAATTGCGTTCTAGAGATTGAAAATATGGTAACAAATCTATCGTCATCATTGTAAATGTCTCGAATATAAATAAGATCTGAGTATTAAAGATTTTGCTGCACTCTTGAAAAACTTCAAATCAGTAAATATTTTGAATTTTATTTTATTTTCTGTTTCAAAATAATTTTCTTATTCAGGACATTCTGAAAGGTGTCGATTAAAACTTTAAATATTTGGCACCTTCATTTTTCTGCAAGATGTGGGTGGAAAATGTTCGATTTATTCAATACAAAATTTTCTAATATATTTTTATTAGACAATAATTATTACAACCTTGTTGGGAGCTTAGTCTGATACCGATATAAAGCATTTTATGTTTAAATAAAGAGAATGATCATGCGTGATGAGTCATTGCTATGATTCTGACGATTGAAAAAATATTTTTAAACATTTAGAATAACGACATCAATGAAATAACTTCTTTATACTTTTTGTTTTGAAACAGCTGATTTCTTTGTTCTCAGCTTTAAATAAATTTAGAAGTGAAAATAGTTGACAATTATAGAACACAAATAAGAGTACATTCGAGAAATCAATTTTATTTTTATTCCATTTAGATATCTGTTTTGGTACTTATTATTTATTTAACTAAGCAATTAACAATTTCTTAAAGTTGCAATAAAAGCCTCTTTTAGGAGTAGTTTCATATACTAAATACCGAAGGACTTTCGTAATATTATCACTAAACTTTTAACCTACTTTTTCTTATTAAATAAATGATTTATTTAAAACTATCCTCGGATTTTTATCAGATGTTAAAATGCAAAGTTTGACTTTGAAATTAATAATTTGAATTGCATATGTATATATAGATATTAAATATGAATTAATGTCTTTTAGGTGTGGGAAAATCATGCTTGTTGCTTCAATTTACTGATAAACGCTTTCAACCAGTTCATGATCTAACAATTGGAGTAGAGTTCGGAGCTCGAATGATTACGATTGATGGGAAACAAATTAAATTACAGATTTGGGGTAAGTTGAAGAAAATATTGAAATCGTAATGGATAATTTTAACAAGACATTTGTATTTTATTTATTGTTTTAGATACTGCCGGACAAGAAGCATTTAGGTGAGTTACATTATAAATATTAAGTTAGACTATATAAGATTGTTAATTTGCCAAAAGTTTTCTGACGTCTAAGAACGATTTATAACCAAGTTCAATGGCAACAATTTTGTTGTTTTCTAACAATTCAAACCACTGCAGTGCGCTGGTTCGAACCTGTCAATTGCCTTGATGACTTTATTTTCTAAATTGATTGTCATTTAATTTAGATGATTTTAAATCGAGGCGATATTAAATATAATCCCGTTATTTAATCTCGAATTGTAATAATTTATTTACACATTTGATTCATAAACTGGGATATAATCTTTAATCAGTTTTTTTGAGTTTTTGGTTGAGCCTTTAGTATTCTTGAATGTAAAATATAATAATTCCATTATTTCAGATCAATCACACGTTCATATTACCGTGGTGCAGCAGGAGCTTTACTGGTTTATGATATCACACGACGAGAAACGTTCAATCATTTGACCACATGGCTTGAAGATGCACGTCAGCATTCGAATTCAAACATGGTGATTATGCTGATTGGAAATAAAAGCGATCTTGAATCACGTCGTGAAGTAAAAAAAGAAGAAGGCGAAGCATTCGCAAGAGAGCATGGATTAGTTTTTATGGAAACATCAGCAAGAACAGCGGCAAATGTTGAAGAAGCTTTTATCAACACAGCCAAAGAGATTTATGAGAAGATACAGGAAGGTGTTTTTGACATTAACAATGAGGTTTGTTAAAATTTATAGATAGTTAATTTTATTGATTAAATCGACATTTTCATCATGTTTAATAACTTTTAGGCAAATGGCATTAAAATCGGTACGGTATCAACACCTACAAATCCGTCAATAGGAGGTTCAAGTTTACCAGGTGGACAGTCCAGTAATTCATGTTGTTAAATCAACATTAACGATTTGTAAACAATCATAAAGGAAAAGAAAAGATTTTTTACATTTCAATGTAAATTTATTGATATAAAAATGAAAATTATTTTCTACGACAAAATCAATGGATGGGTTTCATATGAATCTTATCTCCTTGCTTGTTGCTTCTTTAGCTTTTGCGTAATTCAAAGCATTAGATTCTTCTTAAATTTCAATTTCTTTTTTTTACGCATTAGTTCTTAAGTTTCATTATGTTTCTTATGGAGAAACAAGTTTTCATTTGACATAGTTGCACCAAAACATTAAACTACCTACTTATAATAAATTTTGAGGAAAAATAGACCGTTCAAATATAAATTATATTCATCAAAACAACAGAAGCAGAGAAGTGATCTTCATTTTTTTCTTCCCTCTTTTTGAGATGGCCATTTTTGAAATCGTTGGAAAATTGAAATGAAATGAAGGAAACTTTTGAATTGTGCAAAAAGCCTAATTGAACTAACCCATCGATCAGAGGAATTTTTTCTGGGCAAAATTGAAAGACTGAGAATCAGTGAAAAATTAAACAAAAAGAAATTTTCTTGATAAATGCATGAAAATTTTTGGGAAGCTCAATTCAAATATTAAGATATCATTTAATTTCAATTATAATCGATATGGTACAATAATTGCCAACACAAATGCCGAGGTTTCTTTCACTTTTATACTTATAGTTTTATCTTATTCGTGAAATCTTAATCTCTGTAATGTAAGAAAATTATTCCAGCAGATTTCTGCAATTGATGATAGTTCATCCCGTAAATAGAAGGTCATTAAATTCAAGATTTAATCAAGTTAATTTGTGTTAAAATTACTGTGTTTAATAAATCTATTCACAAGGTGGTGAAAATAAATAAAATATAATTAAAATTTGTCTTACCAACATATAAAAAAAAATTCATTTTGTAATTTTCTTTTAACTGGAAAATAAACATTGTAGAGTGAGATGTTAATTTTTTAACGGATTTTTTGTATTCAAGTAACGTTTCATTCAAACAGATTCTACTTCACTCATTCCCTCTTTAATTTCGTCCACATCATCAGAGTGTTGGAACAATTGCGTGAAGAACATTAATAATATTGAATTAAAGTGAAGAAATAAATTGTTTTTAAAACGTTAAATATCAAGTTTATCAAATTCCACTATAGAATAATATTCAACAATGGTAAGAACTAAGCTTAATTTTGTTTTACACTTTTAAATAAAAGTTTGAGTTAAACATTTGAAATAAAATTATTTAAAAATCCTATTCCAGCCAGCTCCAGCTTCACAGACGTCAGTCGGATCAAAATCTGCAGCTCCCCGTGGTGGTAGCAATGCTCCAAGCTCAGGTGGAAATCTGAAACAGCGAAAGACAACAACAACAACGGCAACTGCACCTCGTTCAAATAGAACCGGAGCTGGATCCGGAGGCATGTGGAGATTCTATACAGATGACAGCCCAGGAATTAAAGTGTAAGTTATAAATATATTGTCATATATATTAATGCTCACAAGCATCCAACTTTTTTCTAGTGGACCAGTACCTGTTCTTGTTATGTCTTTACTGTTCATTGCATCAGTCTTCATGCTACATATTTGGGGAAAGTTCACCAAGGCTTAAAATTTCTTAGTTTAAGCTTGAATATCCTCTCATCTTTGTTCGGAGTTCATTTTTTTAATTTGAAACGTATCTTTATATACCCCAATACAGAATGCAATGATGGTTGCTGTTTTCCTTGTTTATTTTTTATGAATAAATTAAAAATAAAAGAATAAATGTCCATTCCATTTGATATCGTATGGTAATTCGGACTTAAAACAACTCATATAATAAAATGAAATTAAGAATTTTGCTTTACACTATACATTTTGATTTTAGAAAGTTTAAATTATTTTTAAGAGTCTTTAACAGTTATTTTGCTGATTAATTGAATGATTTTGAATTTGCTGAAGAAGTTGCGCCTGTTGCAATGCTTCTTGTTCCTGTGGATTTTGTGATGGACTTGCATTCTGTGGTCCGACTTGTTGTTGACTAAGTTCTGATAAAAAGATATCTAACATAAGATTTTGTCAAATTTAAGAGAGAAATATTTTACCTGCTTTTAATCGACGAGCTATATGAGATCGCGTGTGTTTTCTAAGATGATCTTTTCGGTAAAAGCCTTTTCCGCACTCTACGCATGCATGTTTCTTATGACCTGAATGTATTACTGCATGCAATGAAAGCTGTTCTTTCCTTTTAAATGCTTTCAAACAATGACACAAATAAGGTCTCTCTGGATTATGAGATTGCTTATGTCTAGTTAAATGGTCTTTTCTTTTAAGCGCAGCATTGCATATTTCACAAACGAAACGACGTTCCATATTTTGGTGGCCAATCATATGTTGATCGAGAATTTCTCTAAAATTATACGCACATAACTAGCAATCATAATTAAAATCATTATTATGAGATTAAATACTTCTCGGGATAAGCTACTTGACACTCAGGACAAACAAAAAGCATTGATCCATCAAGCGCAAATTTTAGCCTTATTTCACCCGCCTTTGGTCTCGGTTTCTTCTCTTTTGTGGCTTTTTTCTTTTTCTTCTTTTTTGGGGGACCAGAAGAGGATTGTTGAGTAGATTGTATATTATGAATCACTTGAGCTTGTTGAATGGGTTGTATAATATTTGCAATTGATGTTGATGGAATTAAATTTAAACTTTGCATTGTTGGTTGTACCTAATAAAATGAAAAGAAAACAAATTATTTATTTGTCGGAAATGAATAAAACTTAATCTCACCGATTCTTTTTTGATTGCTGCATCAGCTGAATATTTAAGGAAGTGATGTAAAGACAGAGATGTTGGTAAATGACTTAAATAATCTGCGACTGATGATGTTTGTAAAACTCTTTTTGTTGAATCAGAATTCACTTGTTCTTTTAGAAGTAAACTTGTTATATCTTGTGAGAGTTCTGATGTCGTAACAGAAGGTGGGGCTGAAGTTACTTGGGAATAGTTGCTTTTGGAATTGTCTTGTTGCTGCTGATTACTTGGCGTATTATAATATTGAAGATGTGCTGATGAAGTTGTTGGGTAATGGGTGACATATTTGTTTTGTCCAGCCATATCTTCAGCTCGAAATTTAACAGGAGTTGTAGACGTTGGTACAGATGATTGGTATGAGTAACGATTTTCCTATAAAAAATATATTTTTGTTCAATAAGATAAAATATTAGATAAAATTATTTCTAAACCTGTGAAGAAGGAGCGGTTGAAGACGAGGTTACTATTGTAGAAAATTGATGATGAATTGCTGGAAAACTCCCAAACGCTGAGAAATTCATTCTGTTGTTTAAGCTTTACACACGTTAAAGAAAACTTGGAAAAACTATTTATCAACAGAAATTATGTATAAAATGTAAAATTCCACTTTTTATATAAAATTCTCTAAAATGTTAGCTTATATTGAAAAATAAAATTTGTGTTGTGATATTTCCTATTTAATGTGAAAAAATTTTCATTGGAAACTAAATATGAGGAAAAAATATTTCCATTCGTGGAAAAGGGATATTCGTCTCTTCCATAAATTTTCCATGGAAATGAAGACACGTGTTTACAGTTACAAACAGAACGATAAAAAACCTCACAAGTATCGGGATATTTGACTATTTTATTTATTTTTCACCTCTATAATTATTTATTAAATGATTTGACTACCGTGGATTAGTGGCTACTTAATCATATGTGCAACACGAAGTTAATAGGTTTTAAAACCAAATTATTTTTTCATTTTCTACTGTGTGTAAAGACGTATAGTCTCTGTTTCATAGAATTTGATAAAGCATTAAAAAATGTTTTTATAAAGAGCTGAAGATGTGCTTGAGGCTTATTCTGTAAAATATTCAGCCTAGGCTGAACTATCTATCAACTATTTGTGCATTTATAATGGCTATAAAGGCTTTTTAACAATCTCTTTTTTTAATATTTCACTATTTGCTGATCAATGTTGCTAAACTCGATGGATCGGTTGGCTGAAATATTCCAAGATTTTTCCTTCAAACGCATACGCATATCGAGACCTTTGACATCAGCTGCTAATGTGTGCTCTTTTTGTTGGAGGTCTTTATAAAGTTTTACAATTTGAGATTCTAGATTATTATGCATTGCTTTTGCATTTAAAATCCGTTCTTTTATAATCTTTCGAATTTCATGTAAATTGACGACTTCATCTACTAAACCATCGTACACCGAATCAAGCACCAACTCCATTCCGGATCTAAAAATTGTGTTAAATATTTCAAATATGTCAAAATGAATGTTTTCAAGTTTATATTAATTAAACCTATTAGTTCGGTTCTCTAGTCGAGTCTCGGCTAGTTTCAATGCATTATCCTTGACTCTCAACGTTTCGTGTAAGTCATTTATTTCACGAGAAACTTTTTCCGATTCTTCTTGCGTCTGAGTGCAGATAAAAGTTAATGTTAAAGTAAAAATAAGAGTTTGATAAAATATTTGACGGTCAACATGTGACAAATATTTTGAAATGAATAAATATTTAACCTTCATTTTTTGCCATTGAATCTCGTTACGTTGTCGCTCTGTTTCAAATATTCGCCTACGAATAGTGTGTTCAGTCTTTTCCTGTTGAGCGAACAATAAATTTCTTGTTTTCTCACGACCAACGAAAAGTGATTCACGAATTCCAAAAGATTCTTTTAGTTCTTTCTCTGTAAGAATTTTTAGTTCTTTGCAATAATTCAGCCATCCGTTGTAGGTACATGCATTACGGGGAACTCTTTGTGGATCCACTTTATAAGTTATCGCCGAAGAATTTTTATTCAATGCCAACTGTTCGCTATCAATGTCTTCCGCTTCTCGCTTATCCTCGATGTCAATCTTCAACTTGAAGCGTACTTCATACAATTCATTGAGTTTACACCATGCTGAAGAAAAAAAAATAATCAAGAGAAAAAAAATTAAATGAAAATCCACGTCAAAAATAAAACAACAAAATATTAGCTATCATTATCTATTGTTATGAAAAGGTGTAAGTCAGCCTTTATTTGCGACAAGAAAAATAGAACAAAAAATTTGTGTTCTGAAAGATTTGAATTACAATTAAATAATTTTAATAAGATTATTTTATGGCACAAAGCAAAATCTAAATTGGATTGATTTTGTTGTAAATAAATTGTGGGAGTAGAATGAAATATTTCTTTAAGTGGTGTAGTTGTTCTCGATATTAAATAATAAAAATGTTTTATTTTTCAACATTTTTTACAAATACCTTCATGACATTGATCTCTTAATAATCGTTTATTATTTTCAACAATACACAATTCACGATTTAGTTCTTCATCGACAGCATCGAAAGTAAGTTCTGAAGCTAAACGTACATCTCGTTGGCTGATGCATTCCGAAACAACAACCAATGGTGTTATTTGAGCTTCCAAAGAATTTTCCGTACTTTCCTTTTCCTTATCCAATAACTTTATTTCATTCTCGATGCGATTAAAACAATTTATCATCGTTTGACGCCATCTATCAAGTTCAGCAACCCGATCAGAAAATCTTTCATTATTGTAATAAGTTGACCAAAAGCTTTCAACTGTGCTTTCATTTCTGAGATTTCTAGATACTTGTCGAAAATTGAATGAATCTAAACGTTTTGTTTCGGAATTTTCACGCAATTGGTTTATTCTTAAATTCCAATCATTTAGAGACAGATGTTTTAAAGGCTTCTCAAACTGAACTACTGATTGCGTTGCAGACATTCTCCTGAGAAATTCTGAATGATTTAATTATTTTAAAATGTTTTCACAGATTTTAAATTCACTTATTTAAGAATATTATATTAACGTTGAAAAACAAGAAGAAAAATAAATGCTCCAAGTTATGTAAAAAAATTTATCGATCAAATAAGCGCATAGTGATTTGCAAAATCAACGTTTTATAAAACCAGTTATGCCAGCATAGTAATGTAGATTGTTGACTTTATTAAATACAAACTTTGTGACGCTTTTTATTTCCCCTTGAATTGAATTGCTTTAATTTCTACTCAAAAGTTTCATGTATGTTATCCAATGATAGTTACAAATGTTTATTTTGAATATGTTGAGGTTCATGATCAAATTTTGATAGCTCATGAACAGTTTTTTAGTAGATTTGATATTTAGTATGGATTAATCAATGATATTGAAAGCGTAATAAAATTTCACCGCAGTTACCGCATTCAAGATCTTAAGATCTTGAGTATTATTTATATATTTACATATGTACATGCATAGCGTTTCAACATGTATCTTTGCCTTAAGTCATACATGTTATTTCTAAATTTTTCAAGCATGTGGCTTTATCGATAAATACTTTAACAATAAATTAGCTACTTTAATTTGAAAATAAGTAACGTAAAGTTCAATGAATTATTTAGCGTGAAATTGTTTACAATGTAATATTTGAATTAAACATTTGTCATGTATATTTAAAAAATTAAAAAGAGTGAAATTTGTATTGTCTATTTAAGAGAGAAATTTTTTACAGCAGCGTCGTGGTCAGTTATTGATTTTGCAGAACATGAAAATCGTGACTCTTATATGAATTAAGACGTGAATCGTCAACTACGTATGTAAATTAAAACTGAATTTATTAAAATAAAAATGATGAAATACGGAGTTCACGATATAGTCAAATTCTTAAAAAACAGAGACATCTAAAAATAATTTACGAAGCATTTCAGTCCAATTCTTACTTATTTTAATTCAACAGAGGGTGTAGACAATATTTTCTATCGTCTCTTATACATCTCTAAATTCTATCAGCTTCACTTCAAAAATTAATGTTAATCTTTGGCTATTAATTTTTTTTGTCCTTAGCCGCAATGGGTTATAACAGCAGTCACACTTTGCGCTCTTTAAATCAATATCATTTTCTTCAAAAATTATTTCGTGCAATTTTTAATTAATGTTCACATCTGAAAAGGTATTAAAAGATCTATGTGTTTGCAATATAATAAAAGTTGATTTAAGCGTAATTATTATGGACTCTTTCAAAGACTCTGCAATCGTAAATATGTAGTAAATAAAAAGCAAATGCTTTTTTGTAACATTATTTTATTAAAGGAATAGCTTAAACATTGTACATTTTAAAATTCAGAATATGTAGGTAATCAAATAGTTTTTATGTATTTAAAGACAAGTCGTGTTTTATCGTTTCGTGTATCACATAGAAAATTTCAATTTATTCGACAGATGAAAGTTTTGAAAAGTGAAAAAATAAACTTATTCCTAAAATGACATTCACAAAGAATACTTTGATATGAAGGTATGGAGAAATCAAGAACAATTAGAAGGACGAATAAGATTGTTGAGTTGTGACTTAGGACTTAGATAAATATTTTGGTTGAGTTAAAAGGAAGAAGATCTCAGATTATTCTTCGATTCATTTATGAATATTATCTCGTGAGTTTTTAACGTCAGCATGGAATCCCCATTCGTCAGAATAATAGTCAACAGTTCTTACATTACCGTCAGGTTCAACGAGGGAATATTGCCCTCTTACTATTTCACCATCTCTTTCTTCTTTTTGATGCTTAATATCACCTGTTGTGGGATCATTTACACCATATTCGAAAGAATATTTGGCATATGAATTAGCATAAACTCCATTGTCCTCCTAAGGAATGAAAATGTAATTAAAATTTATTATATTAGAAAATTCGTTAGATTTTCAGCGAAAAAAATTATTACATAGATATCATGTTGCTTTGCAATGACTGAGTTAAGTACTGCTGGGTGTGATTTTATTAATGTTGTAGCTGGTGCAGCAATTCCGAAAGAACCATAACTTGCTGCATATGCTGGTGAAGCATATGAACCATAAGATGGTTGAGCGTAAGCGACCTTAGCTACTGCAGGTGTAGCATAAGCAGCATAAGCAGGTTGACCATATGAACTGACTACTTTTGTAACAGCTGGTGCAGCATATGAGGCGTAAGATGGTTGAGCGTATGCAACTTTGGCTACTGCAGGCGCAGCATAAGCAGCATAAGAAGGTTGAGCATATGAGCTGACTACTTTTGTAACAGCTGGTGCAGCATATGACGCGTACGATGGTTGAGCGTAAGCGACCTTAGCTACTGCAGGTGTAGCATAAGCAGCATAAGAAGGTTGAGCATATGAGCTGACTACTTTTGCAACGGCTGGTGCAGCATATGAAGCATAAGATGGTTGAGCGTAAGCGACCTTAGCCACTGCAGGTGTAGCATAAGCAGCATAAGCAGGCTGAGCATATGAACTGACTACTTTTGCAACGGCTGGTGCAGCATATGAAGCATAAGATGGTTGAGCGTAAGCGACCTTAGCCACTGCAGGTGTAGCATAAGCAGCATAAGCAGGCTGAGCATATGAACTGACTACTTTTGTAACAGCTGGTGCAGCATATGAGGCGTAAGATGGTTGAGCGTATGCAACTTTGGCTACTGCAGGCGTAGCATAAGCAGCATAAGCAGGCTGAGCATATGAACTGACTACTTTTGTAACAGCTGGTGCAGCGTATGAAGCGTAAGATGGTTGAGCGTAAGCAACCTTTGCCACTGCAGGTGTTGAGTAAGCAGAATAAGAAGGTTGAGCATATGAGCTGAATGTTCCATAATTGTATGGAGCAGCGTAGGATACACCAGGCTGCACAACTTTTGTAACAGCTGGTGCAACATAAGAAGAATATGCTGGTTGAGAGTAAGCGACTTTAGCTACTGCAGGTGCAACATAAGAAGGTTGGGGGTAAGCGACTTTAGCTACTGCAGGTGCAGAATAAGCAGCATAACTAGGTTGTGCATATGAATGGAATGCTCCATAATTGTATGGTGCTGCGTAAGATACACCAGGTTTCACAACTTTTGTAACTGCTGGTGGAAGATATGCAGAATAACTCGGGCTTACTACTTTTGTTAAAGCAGCAGGAGCTTCATAAGAATATCCTGGATGAATATGACCTTCTGGTGGACAATCTGGCGCTGACAATGCCACCGTTGCACATGCCACAAGTAAAATTGTAGCAAATATCTAACGAAAAGAAAATAAACATTTAAAACATTTGATTTCGCTCATCAAAAATGAAGCTGTTTTCACACTAATAGGTATATTTAATTTAGTACAGCAGTTAAAAGCTATTTATCGTTCTGCCCACAATACTGCATATTTATATTTATTTATAATAATTTCACAACCGTCATTTTTAATCACTTCATATATTGAAAAGAAACTAATCCTCTTATGCAATTTTATGATTTCATTCGCATAAATATGAGTAAAGTTGTAAATATGAAGATTTTCCTGATTGAAAATTTTCGATCGTATCACTTGGAAAACTTTCCTTTTATTTTTAAAATTCACTAGCTATGTAGATATGCATAATTTTCTTATTTTATTTTGTTTTCCTCTTCAGCAGGAATATAAATTTTATTTTGTTTTCTTTTTATCATAATTTTCTGAGAGTGCACATGGATATAATTAACGTATTTATATCACTTAATTCACATATTATTCCTTGATCCACTTCTTCAGTAAAATAAAATGATGTAAGCTCACCTCCATCCTTTATAAACGCTTAAGATATGCTTTTAAAATATTTAAGTCAACCTCGTCTGAACACTAGACGCACAATAAGCAACTTTGAGTCGTGTGTTTAGCTTTTTAAAGTTCACTTAATGTAGAGCAAAATCACGAGACACATGATACATTTCAAGAGTGCCTTTTATTCTACCTTAACTCATATGTTTGTATAGTTGAACTATATGCATGCAAAAAATATCAGCTACTACATTTCTTACAACTAAAAGAAATAAGTAAGAGTGTTTTCACTGAAAAAAGCAGTTTAGAGTTAAATGTAAGCGAAAAAATACTGACTCGCCAATACATACAAATACTAATGAAGAAAAAATCGTATTATTGGAAAAGTAAATCAATTTATTAAATTGTGGCTCAAGAGTTTTTCATATGCATCCCATTTGTTTTAAAATTTCATGCAATTGAAGTCAAATATATTTCTCTTTATTAAAACGCATTGAAGTCTTTTCTTGATCATGTCAATCACTCTTAAGTATGCAAATATCCCTTCCATTCTGCTCATATGCCAATCAGTTTCTATCCACAACCATGTAAACACTTGAATTAACTTTTTTCATATTTAATGTGTTCTTCATTTATTATATTTTTCAAGCTATGATAACAAATTAGAGCAAAGTTAAACACATACTTGCTAACGTCCATAATTATAAAACTGCATTTTAATATTAGATGACAGTATTGTTGCATGATTGAATATTTCAGAGCATACACTTTTAATGATATAATTAAATATCACTATCTAATATTTCAAACTGTTATTTATGTTTATGGAAATTTAATCTAAAAAATGTTGATTACTCACTTAAATAGATAGTTGCTATGTTAATGATTTGAAGGATGTGTGCATTTCATTCTAAATTCAACTTAATATATTAACTCTAATTTAACTCTATATTTGAATGCATCCTTCTTCTGATTAATTAATTAACAATCGAACTATTTAATTACAAATTAACTGGATAATTAGATTAAAACCTAAGTAAAATTTTTTAAAGTATCGGAATAACTTTACGCAATTTGAATTCCAGAAACCAGAAATCTTGCTTTAATTTTTATACTCATACTTAATATTATGCAATTGATATTAAAAGAAAATAAAATTACTATAAATAATAAACAAGTGCACAAATAATAGTGAAAGTGATCAGTTAAAAGGGATTATTAATACATAAATTGATAGTAAAATTTTTATATAAATCGTGATTGGATAACGATTTTTATTCTACTTATTTTCTGATAATATTTAGGAAACGCATCAATTTTAGTGATCTCTATCAACTTTTTTACAATTCTATGCAATTCAACGTTCAAATAACGGATCTAGTTCAATCAATACATTGATTCAGATTATATGCAAAGTAAATATTTCTAAACATGCATATTTACATTTGTTTAATTCCATTGACCTTGTTTTAAAAACCAGAAGAGTGTCAAATATCTCATATAAAGAAACTGATTAATACAATGTCAAAAAATAACAAACAAACATAAATTTGCATAATTCATGAATCTTTATCATATTCTAATTTTCGGAAAAAAATAATGACATAAATTCTCCAAAAGTCTCACAAATAGTAAATGGTGCTTACAAAAGAAGAATGAGTCGAGAAACAAAAGAACATACAAGCTTATTTTATAAATTTAAAAACCTAGATTCTGAGAATCAAAAAATATGTGTAAGCATGAACCCAGCCTTTGTTTAGTTTTGAACCTCTTCAAATCTATGAAGAAAATGCAGCTACAATAAAAAAAGCTTTTGATATTTCGTTAAGATTCCTTCAGGCAAACAGCACACAAATTTACTGAAACATTTAATTTTACAAAAATACCAGTTTTTTCTCATAACATATTAAATAATTTTGTTCAATTAGGTATCTAATCTCAGTAATCAAACGACACATGCGTGAAAAGAGCATTTCTTTCATGCTTAAAAAATGACTAAAATAGTTGCATAATTTTTCCGACATTTAACTGCAATAAATGATGAAGTGATAAAGTTTTTGAAAATGCGTTGCTTTGAGAGAAATAACTACAAATGCATGAAATCTCAGCTTAGATAAGATACTCAGTACATGTAAAATTTAATTTTTTAAAGTAGATATTTAATTCAATAATTTCACATAAATTTTTCATCTTTTTACAAACAAAGTATTTTTTTCCTATTTAAATCTGAAGATGTTTTAATATGTTTGAATATATTTTCAATAATGTTAATTCTTCAAAAAGACCTGAAATAGTTTTTATCATTACTTTTACGTCATAAAACATATCAGTCACTGTTTTGTTCAAAAGTTTAAGTCAAAGTGAATATCAATAAGTTCATATTTTACTCATTAGATGTAATGAATTTGAACAACTTGTTAATAAATAAATAAATTTTGATATCTATAATGAAGTTGTATCAAAAATGACTATTGTGTGACTCATAAATTAAATGGTATATATCAGCCGATCCCAAATCCATATTGGTAAGACTTAAATTTCATGCACCGTGAAACGCATAACATGAGAAAAATATTTTGAAAGGTTTCTGTTTGTCCGTTTATTTATGCTTTAATATCATGACATTCAATTTATGCGTACACGTCTAAGCTGTAAAGGGGTTCTTAAATACTTAACTTAGAAATCCGTTTACAAATTGCTTGAAAGTAGGCGAATTGGTGTTTTGTCATGTCTCAAGGGTCAAACATTCATGTCGCAAAGTTTTTTTTATAAATATTTGCTATGCATGAATTTTTAATTAAATACACTTACATCCATCGATCGAATTCTTTACCTTTTTATTTTACTCTCCTTTTCTATAATAAAATAAAAAAGCCATTAATATTAAATATGGCGAATTTCTATACATGAAGAAAAATTGACTTGTTTAGGGTTTAACTCGAGTGTTGAGAGTATAAATAGTAATGTATTCTGAAAATAAAAAACAGAACCAATCAACAATATTCCTATTTTTTTTAATTTATTTTAAACTTCTATTGAAAATTTGAAGAATATCAGTGAAAATAAATAAATTGTAATAATTTTTTTATCCAGTTATAAGAGAGAAAAAAATTGCACAACCAATTAAGTAACAACACATAATAATGAAAATATTAATTCTAAATCATTTGTTTTAATTTAATGTGCATAGTGGTATGCATATAATTCACGAGGACTTCTTCTGTATATGGTTTGAACCAGTCGTTTTGGATTATATTGTGCATCGAAGGAAGCACGTTTTCTAAAGAAATTGTCATAATCGCTTCTACCACGCACTGTAGCGTAATGTTTTAATCCTGGAGTAATTAGTTTAACTTTTTTGAGCTCTGGTTTTTTAACATGAACAACAGTTCCAGGCTTGTATTGTATGTTTGAGACTGGTTTGCCTGAATGTGATCCCACTCCTGAATCATATTGACCATATTGACTTTGTGATGATACATGATTTGCTTCGTGACCTGGTTTATAATCTTTGATTTCTATAGTTGGTCTAAATTTCAACGGTTGGTAAGAATGATGATGTGAATGAGATGATCCCGATGTTCCCAAATGTACGTTAGGTTTTAATTCAAGTATGGATGGATCATATCGTATTTTTTCATTAATTTCAGCTACATGAGCTTCGTCTCTAGGAACATCTGAAACGATATGTTTTTAAATTTGCTTAATAAGTTCAAATACAGTTGACGCGCTATAAGCGGAAGCTCTATGAGAGCAAAAGCTTCAAACATGACCACCCCCTTCAGTTTCCGCTTATAGAGCTTCTACTGTACATGTAAGTTTTCCTACCTGAGCTTAATATAATTGTATCTTGATCTTTGCTGTAGTGATTAATCTTTGATTGGGATTTTTTGTCTACGTATGTGTGGTGACCATGTTCATCACGCACTGGATGTGAATTAGGTCCATGCTTTTGAAATATTTAACAAAATATAAAAATCTAATAAATGTTTGAAATCAAGATTGATAACCAACCGTTTTAACAACTGCATTAAAACCATTTTTACTATCCGCAGTATAATCAACTTCGCGAATGCTTCCGTCAGGTTCAACCACTGTAAATTCAGTATTAGAAGATAATTATGTTTATTATAGATTTAAATTTAAACCTGAGTAATGTCCTTTGATGATACCATTATCTCTTGTCTCCCATTGACTTTTCACATCGCCACTATGACTGTCCTTAACCCCATAGGAGAACGAATAAGAAGGATGCGCCGCCTATAAGAAGAAAAGAGAAAAGTTAAATAACGAATGTCTATATTCAATATGCTTCCAAAATTTTTAGGATTCAATTGTGAACTTTTGAAATTAAGGAGTTGAATTAATTTTTAAGGACAAACATTCAGTTAAGAAGTTACAAAAAATCAAACACACATTAAGATGAATAGATTGATTTATTATTTTAATTAATGACTTGATGTCAATGGTGGGATTTATCAAGTCTTTTTTTTCCTAATAGTGCGTTGGCGGCTAATTATATGATAATAAGCTACCAAACGCTTTGCATGGAAATATCCACGCAGCATATTTGATGCAAAAATTATTGTTTGAGCTTCCGTAATGAAAATTTAATTTAAAAGCTTTGCATTTATTTTAAATAATCAGTGCACATGATTAGAAATAAAAGGGTACTGAAATCTATTTTACTGCTGAAAACTAGTAGTTAATACTTAGGTAAAAGTGTAAACGCATTTTAAATGGGATGACAAAGTGCATGATTCAATTACTCACATATTCTGGAGTGTATGATGCATGATCGTTGTGCTGGCAGTACGTTCCTGTAACTACTGCTAAAAACAAGACGATGAAAAACTGAAATAAAAAATAACTAAGTAAAATCTTAGATAGATATCAAAATATTATTGTTAAAAATGTGCAATAATTTTTTTTTCCCTGACATAACAATATTTAATTATATGTATGGAGAAAACAAATAAGATTATTAAAAAATTGTTTCGATACTTCTAAAGAGAATGAAATTTTATTTCTTTTTCATTTCTTATTACTTAGCTTTAAGTATTGAAGCAGGATGTTCTCAATAAAAAATAGTTGCGACAATATCCTATTTCGATTATGTAATCTTGAGTTGCAATTTGAATGTTGAAATTATGCAATCAAGATCTTTCAAAGTAAACATATCAAAAAATACATTTTAAAGAAAATAAAATAAATATTTTAAAATCTGAAATTATGATTCTATATACTGCTATCTACACTATCTATACGCTATCTATAATCTACACTATAGAAATGTTTACTAATAAAGATTTTCTCAAGCTCTTGCTTCTGTCAAAACTTAAAAGAGCATGGAAAATTATTAGTCATCGTTGTTTAATTGACAAAATATTATAATGAGTTTAATTATTATTCAGAACATGTAAGTAGGTTTCAAGACACATATCTAAACACACTTTTCTAATAATAAAATTTTGTCAGCTTATTTTCAGAAAAATATCAGAAAATACATAAGTACAAGAAGTCTGAAATAATTCAAAGGTGAAACAACACTTTAAATTTCATAAAATATGTAAGAATATTTATTTATGATTTTTGTTACTGCTTTTATATTTTAAATTTAATGATGAAGTATCTAATCGAACTTCGATTAAGATTGTATGTTTGCTAGACTGTCAAAGCTCTTCGACCGTAAAAATGATTTGATTGACATAAATTATTCATGAACTGATCTGAACTACTTGATACTTATTTAATAAAAAAATAGTATGGATATGTTTGTATTCATTGAAACTTATACCTATTTCAAAATGGTATATTTATTAAATTCATGTTTCCAATTAAGATCAAATCGGTATGTCAAATTCTGATTCATTTATAAGTTTTCATGGTCAGTGCGTGAACAGTGACTTAATAGATTATTCAAAAAAAATTAAGAAGAAGAAAGTTTATAATTATGTACGTTAAAGTTCTCTGTTAAAATGTTTAACTATCAACTTAATATTCAAAATTTCATATTTAAAGAGTTATAATGAATATAACAACTAAGTATTTATCCATACAGAAAAAAACTAACAATTTGAAATGTTTTTACTATTTCGTGAATGTTTGAATTAAATTTTTCTTTTTCACTTTTATGAAAAGAAAATATAAGCAGACAAAGCTTAAACTTTCATATAAATTCCCAAGTGAAAGTTATCAACATTAGCTGGCAGTTGAATGCCATAACTATGAGGAAAACTTGTTCTAGTGAAATTATACCATTGAAAATACAACGCTAAACTCTTTGAAGATGCGAAGTCGATGCTCTAACAGAAATGCTACCAAATAAGTGAGAGTTGAATAATTAAAAGCATGAGAATACTACTCAATGGAGAAAATGTTATGTGAATAACTTGGATTAGAAACAAGCTTCAATATTCAGATTTTAGAATTGCAAACAGATTCAATAAAACAAGTTTTAAGCTTAAGGAAATGTTTTAAAATATTATAACAGAATATGAGACAACAAGAAACTTTAAAAATGACGCGATATTTAAACGGATCTAAACAATTATTTTTTAGGTTTCCATACCTAATTCTGTATTTTTGACATATCCAAAGTTTAATGATAAAATTTAACTTATTTCGTTTTGCATTGATAATCTTGATTCAGAATTTTCTCAATTATATGAACATATAATCATTAGCGGTCATCATTAATAACTCACAAAGTCTTTCATGCTTTAAGCTTTCCTTCCTTTTATTATCTGCGAACTTTGGGTCACGATATCGAAGTGTACAACTCAATATTTATGTATATTAATTTATATGATGTTCTCTATCAATATATTACAATAACTTCATTTTTATACATGTAGCACTTTCTTTTAAATTTGTTATTCACTTAGAATCCATTAATCCAAGCATTAAACTGCATACAAATTATCAACTACAGCAACACAAAAAAACTTCCAAATCTTTTATTTTATTACTTTTTAACCTTGATGCAATGCGAATTATTAATAAAGATGTTATGCACTCAACCGACGAACAACAATTCAACTAGTAACTTTAAATTTCTTCTTTCTTATATAGTCAATTTGGATTCAATAGACTTTTCTCATTAGAGAAATGGAAGAAAAAAAACGACATTTAGAGTCTCAAGGAGAAAAGAAATGCTATACAATATCATCAATGGGTGATTATCTTGCAATGTAAAATGCATTCAAGATCGGGGTTGTGTTACGAATTTACCATTGAAGTCATTCTGTATTGGTTACAATGAAGATTGAAAACTTGTTTCCACAGTTTATCTGAATCCATCATTTTTTCATTGTATTCAGTGTGTAATGAAAATAAAACAACTTCAAGTCAAATAAAAACAAAGACTCAATTTTATAACATGAACCTTGACAATGAAAAGTTAAATCTGAACTTCATCTATTTGCCTATGTACATATTTTTCTATCCCATCTCTTCATCTGTTTGCTCCAAAATATGCATTTTTGAAAAGCTCTTACATTATTTTTAAAATTCATGAATATTAATTTCTTTTATGAATACTGGAAATTTTATTTATTGACATTTGAATCCTTACTTAAGCGGTTATAAAAAAAGTGAAAATAAATAATCTTGATTCGATTAACTTAATTCCATTTGTTGGGTATAAAAATATCACGTCATTATTGCAGTATAAATTGAAAATCCAAGTTAAATGTATAACTAACGTACACCGTTAACACATTTACACTTACAGAAATTAAAAGAAATGCAACGCAAGATGCACTGGATATCGTATTTAAATATATTGATCGTAAGAAATTTTCACTTTCCGCTATTACATGTTTTTCCTGAATAGTATTGAGTCGCTTTGTTACTTAATATCTTAATTGATTACTCGTTTAATTCCACTTTTAAATAAAAGCAAAAGTTGTTTAAGGCGAGTTTAAAGAATTGATGACACATCGTTTTATCAAGCTTTTGATCATGTGTTAATAGAGATGACAATTTCTTCCGACGTTTATAATATCCATAGTGAGAAAGCTGAATTTATTTTTATCGGTGCCTCGTTTTTAATGAATATGTTTGAAACCGAAAAAAAAAACTTAAAAGACAAAAGGCCGAAGATGTGTTTCTGATTTTTTGATAAACTGATCTTAATTTCTTGTAGAATACTTTTCCATTTTTCTTTTTGTCCTGAAAGGCTGAAAACTTTGTTTGCATTATCAGTAGATATAATCGCTGACATGTTTTAAGATGAAACTAAAACCGTTCAATTTACATGAAAGCTCAAAACTGAATCAAATAAAAGCTTTTTGAAATTAGCTTCAATGTTTTTCAATGTTTTTAGAAAACATCAGTTTGATGTTTTTAAAGTGTTGATGTTCAATTATTTCTTTTAAATACCTACCTTAGTTAATTATTGGTTTCATCATGATAAAATAAAGTTGTAAGTGCAAATACTGATATGCTTTAAATGAATGAAACTGACAACCTTTCACCTTACATGAAATTGTGAAACAGAATTAAAGTTTTACCAAATGAGCTTCAATGTTTTTTGGAACAACCAATTTTATTTTTAATTGTAAATCAATAGATCATCATAAATATAAAAATGACATTCTCATGAAGAAGTTTTTTTTTTATTTTGACTCATTTGTTCTTTAATCCATTCCGTAAACAAATAGCCTTAAACACCGCGTTATTTTTGATGCACTTTCAACTCATAAAAACTGAACAGGTTCTCTATGTAAATAAGGCTTTTTTGGTTGACCGTTCCAAATTTGTTGAACATGTATTATTTGGTTTGGCAAAATTGATTTAACAACAGCTCTAAATCCGCTGTTTTGATCGACTTCATAATAGACAGTTCGAGCACTTCCATCCGGATCAATCACTCCATAGCTTCCTGTTACTGTTCCATCAACTTTATTTTCCCAATGATCAAGCGAAACACCATTTGGTTCGTCAATGTAATAGCGAAATGAATAATCATTCTAGATTTTGTAAAACGACAAACAAAGTGTTTAAAAAGAATTCAATAGAATGAAGGTTAACAAGAATGATGCATGGAATAATTTAGAGATGAATTGTCACTTTGATTTCCAAATACTCAAAAATGGAATAAACTGTCAGAAATAAATTCCTCAATTGACTGAATTCAACAAACCATTTGGTTATTCTTAAAATAATTTCAATTCATTTCAATTCTAAACTTTATTATTTGTTTGATTTTGCCTTAAAACTTACATTGTTTCTATCTCCGATATTATAATTAGTGTGAGACTCAACATACTGTGACAAAGAAGATGTGATGGTGTGGAGGAACATTAAACATCTAATGAGTTGTGGAATATTCTAAAAAAAAACAATAAATAAAATTTCATGATATCAGGGGCTTCAATCTTAAAAAATGTAAAGTTTATTGATTTATATTTCACGAAAATTGATATTAAATATCCAGTAAAGCTTATAAGTCGTAGCCCCTGAACGAGAACCTCCTTTTGTTCAAAATACATTTTATTTGTGCTGCTGAGAAAACTGACTAATTATAGTTTCTTTCACAGTTAGAACCTCGGTCATAGTCACGATATTATGAATAAATAACTTCTTTATATTCACCCTTGAAACGATTCTCAATTTTAATTCAAATTCAACACAATTTTCAGTTTTGAATAGAGTTATCAAATTAGTGTCAAAACAAATCATATCTTTTCATTACTTTTTCACTTCAGATTCAATTCTTTAAACATTTGAAGTAGTAAAATTTACCATTATTTTTTACAGTATTTATTGATGTTTAGTGATGGATTTCCAGCTATACAATAAAAGATACTCATAATTTCATTGTGACTTGATCCGTATAAATCTAGGGTAGGTATATGTATGATCACATAATATCTATTTACAACTTTCAAGCTTTTTCTTTACACAAGTGTATATAAGTTGAATAAGAGGAGCATCTCGAAGGGCAACCATTTCATTTAGAAAAAAATCCTTTCACTGTGAAACAAGAATATCAACATTTAAGACAAACCTAAGGGTAATTTCATAAAATATGACAAACTAGGGAATTGTAATTTTGATGATATGATAAAATTAAAAAAAGAATTAAGAGTAAACAACTATGTATACATAATTAAATTATATAAATAATTCTCGGATTCATATTACTTATGATCTTTAAATTTTGAGATATATGACAAATACAGAGAATGTTCAATAAAAAATCTTCAAATGAGTTTCAAGTATGAAAAGAAGGTATTCAGTGTCTCAGAAAACACTTTCAAGCCTCTTCCCCTTCTCCATAGTTGCAAAATAATCTACATAATTCTTGAAGTATTTGCCTTGCTTTCAGATAAATTTCTGCAGAGGTACACTGATGAGTTGTTATCATCAAACTTTCGTTTTCCTATCGTATACATCGTTTGTATTCTTTTTGGTAGTGTTGGGGTATTAGCTTCCAATCAAGATTTATATTAAAGAAAAATCATCATTTTTAAGGCATATCTAAATGATGAAGATTGATTAAATTTTCTGATGGACTTTCTATCATGCGGTTGCATCTTAAAATGTTTGACATTTGAAATTTGACTTACTCACCAAATTCAACGAATTTTTATGCCTTCCCTTTGAAAAAAATGACAATTTAAAGAAAAAAATATTTTCTGATTTTCACAAGTTAAAATTAAAAGTGAATGGAATCTTTATTATAAAAAGTAACAACAGTATAAGATTGAAGCTGTTTACTAGAAATACTGCGCATCGTTGAACTTAAAATATTCAATGTATGTGTACGTTAATTTGAGTGTAAGTTTTTTATTTATGATACTAATGATATTTTTCAATGTTTTATTTAAGCTCCTAAACTGAATTCTTTTAATACGTATATAAATATTTGATTTGTTCTGTTTGAAAAATTCTAACTCTTTTTAAATAGATGATCGATTTCACGATTTCATAGCCCGGAATGCTTCTGTGTTGTTTTCGCTCGACTACTTCACAGAAATGAAGATTGAAGTATTTGAAGTGTATGTACAAGTATAACTGACCTTGGAGTCCAACAAACATCACCTAGAAGCACATAAATTTTTATGAAGTCTTTCATGCAATACTTTTTTGATACAATAAACAGTAAAACATGTACTAAATTTTTCTTTTCTTTGATAAAAATGATCCTGATTAAAAAATATTTTTGACACTTTTGACGACTTTATTATTATCTAATTGAATTTTTTTATTAAAAAATACCTTTGCACACAAAAGAAAAAATATTTTCGTTGAGCTGAAACATTTAACACTGCTAAGACATCATTATGTATTCATTAGCATATGTTAAAAATGTTATGTTGCCCATACGCAAACTAAAATTTACAACTAAATTTTTAGGACTTCGCAAAAGTAAGTCATTCTTAATATCGTGCAACGCAATCAATTAAACTTATGAAATTTTACGTGTGCCCGAATCTTCTTCGAGTAACAAAAGAGTTTTCGGTTTGGGTTTCGTGACATTAATAGCAAATGCTTTTTATTTTATAATAAATAAATCGTGTGGCATCATACCTCAACTTAAATTGTTATGTTACATAATGATTTAGTATTGAGGTTCCATCAAATAAAATTTAGTTGATTTATAGGTGAAAGAAAAAATATATTTACCTGCATTTAATGTTTCGTTTTTAAAGATGATTTTTTTAGAATTTGTCTTTAATAATAAAAAGAAGAAGTTCATCATAAAAGAAATGGATGAATAACTGTGAAATTTCCTTGGATATTTCAAGCTTGAACAATAATAATTACATACATAAATTACTTTTTTATGTTTACTCAATGACTCATTTTTAATACTTTTTTGGAATAGATTCGGATAATTATGAAGATTTATTAAACAGTGTTTAATTTTTTTATTTATGCTTATTAGTTTCATATTTAGAAACCTCTCATATTTATGATATCTTATTAAAGGTATTTATTAAATGAACATATGAAGAACTGAAACTTTGAAGGTTTATTAAAACATTAGATTTTTTCACCCACAAGCTTACTTAATCGGTCATTCAGTAGAACTATCAATTTATAGTGTGAAGACGTGTTTTAATAGATATTTTTTATCAATATTCATTGCTACAAGAAAAGAAGATCAGGATGCGATGGAAGAAAATTCGCCACTTTATAATACATAAGACTGTGAATGTTAAAAGCATCCATGAAATATTTGTTGAATCTATCGTGAAATAAAACAATTACTGAAAATGTTCTACTTCAAGGTAATTGATCTAAAATGACAACAAGTTAATATATCTGAATATATAAAGTATTAATTTGAAACTACATTCCAAGGAATGCAATTTTACGTGTCATCACGTATTTTTTAATACATCAAAAATATTTATTTACAAACTGTTTGAATAAAGTTACAGGATTTAAAATGGCAAACTTATTGTTTGTTTATATAATTATTTACAAAGAAAAACTGATTTTTAAAATGACTTTCAGTTGGTTTTAAAACGACTTGATGTTGTTGTTAAGTTTCACTGATGGTTATTTTGATGGTTGGCCCTGTTCTGATGATAATACTGCAAAATTATAAAAGAAAAATAGATTTAATTGGAGTAATTTAAAAGTTAGCTACTTATTCATATTTCATTTGACTAACAATAATAAAAGCATTGTTAATTTGTCATTTAGCTATATTAAACACAATGTTATCAAAAAATGTAATAAGTTTAATGATTTCTGAGAATCAGGAAGGAATTAAATCCAACATCAAAAGAAAAATGCCCTAAAACTCCTTGAAAATCGAACAAACTTTAGGTTCACTCTAAATTTTTGTAGGATTTCAGTTTGACATGCGTCATGATATAACTTTATACATATAAATGTAAAAAACTTGAGTTTCACGACATTTTGTATTTATGCTTCTTTGCAAACTAGTTTTAAACATTGATTTTCTTCTACAAAAAGCATTTATCTAAAGTTCATGATATCTTATATTACAGAAAAGGGTTGAATATAAAACCTGTTTACAAAAGTGCTTAAATTATTACTCGACGCACAAAGAGGTGTTAACATGTTGAATAAACTTTTACATATTTTGAAACAAATTAGAAATTTACACAAACCCTTTACACAAATTCAACTTAATATTTAAAATAAAATTATCTGCAATTGATCATTTACAAGAAAACCGGTTCCATATAAGGAAATTATTGAAAGAAAGAAGAAGAAGCAAAGTAAATATAAGTTGCGAAAGCAATGACTCTTAAACTGTTTTAAAAGAAGCATCTCAGTTTTCTCGTCTCTCATATTATTCCAAGGTTATTCGATATTTTATTGCATTCAATACGAGTAGAATGATTACGATCTTCATGGTAATATGAGCTGCTATAGCATAGACTCTGATGATATTTTTTCTCTTATTGAAATATTAGTTTTTGCAAGGTTTCATAAACCTTTTAAATGATTGTCTACGAAAATTTAGACGTTTTTATCGGTCAAACATATTTAAATAATGAGATAATTCTAAAAAATGTGATCAACAATTGAATATTATATTAAAATATTTTTCCAATGTTCTTGAAATTTGTACTTTTTTATTACAAAAACTATTATAATGTAAACCCCTTATGTATTTCTCAGTTTATGTGCACATATTAAGCGGTGATGTAAGTACGCTTAATGAAATTTATTTAGCTGTACAGCAACAGCTTTTTAACAGAATAAACCAAGAGAAATATTTAAATTAAAACTGTTCATTGCGTGCATTGATAATGAAAGAAAAAAAAATTAAAAAGCGTAGGAAAGCAATGCAATTTTTTTCTCAGATCAACTAACACAACTTCTATGTATTGATGCAAACATATTGAACTACTTTTCCTATCTTGTGGAATTGCATAAGATGTAATGAAAGAAATGCTTCATTAAAAGTGCAGTTTGAGTGCATGATGAAATGACAATTCCTAACTAGCATCGTTATTATTAGAAGTGCAATCAAAAAAGTAAAAATTATTTAAGTCAAACATTTAACTTACCTCTTGAGGGTTCAAAAATTTTTCATAGGCCTTATATTTTTTCAATTTCATATTATAGCGATCATTGTAAATGTTTTGGTCATCATACTTTTGACGTTCACTCGTATATCGATAATCCCTTATGAGATTACTGTTTAAATAGTTCCATCTATCATTGGGACTTACTACAACATATCGAAAACCTTCGTTAGGAATATAAATCGGAGCAAGGGAATAACTGAATGCATTATTAAAATTGTTCGCTGGTTTTGTTTTAGGATTGTATGATTGTGTGTACTGAGGTGCTCTGTAGTTGGGATCGAAAATGTTAACTGTGTTTTCGCGGGATCTTGAAGGTGTTGGAAGAACGTAACTGAAAGGAAGTAATAAGAAAAAAAAGACAACAAGAAATTCGTGAGCATCAATTTTAATTCAGCGATCGTGTTGAAAGTATTTATTACGTGTAAGGTCTTGGATTAGGAATATCACTTGACTGATCTTCCCAAACAGGTGCCGGATTTCTATATGGTAGTGAAGGTGGTGGGACTGTTGTTGGTGAAGCAGGAACAATTGGTAGACCTCTAGTACCAAAATCAACTTTAATAGATGTCACAATCGAAAACAAAAAAGTGATGATCAGCAACTCGTAATGATTTAACTGAAAGAAGTAATCAATCTAAGTAAGTTTTCTGTTTTAGTTACTAATATATGTAGCTAAACATAAAAAAATGTTTTAAAGATACCTAATAAGAAATGGATTCATCACGATTACCATGGGCATATTTTTTTAGTTAACAGAATGTGTGGTTTGAGTTCTTTAAATAATTTTGCGCATTACTATGTATAGTAAATTCATGAAAACCATTATTAATGAAACATTTTTTGTTGACTGGATTTTTAAAATGTTTTGATTAATATTCAACAGTTTCATTATACAAAAGAGTATCAATGCCAAAAGACTTCAATCAATGATTTTTTTTATTTATACGATGGACGTGGAAAATTTTCAATACTAATGAAATTTTCCTGATATCCTAATCATAAGTAATGTAATTGTTTACTTTGAATTATAGTGAATAAGTTTATACTGCTATCTCGAATTAATGATGTGAATATTTAATGTTGGTTTTTTGATACAAATATACAGACATTGATCAATAGAAATCACTTTCCCTTCGCTCTTATTGATCATTAACATTTTTTATAAAGATGAGTTGTTCCCTTCAGCTTAAGATCAAGAAACAACGAAAGTGAAACATAAAAAAAAACATTTTTCTGAAGCTTAAGTATTAAAAGAAAGTGATTTCATAACATGCTAAAGGTTATTTTACAAATTTTACGATATGTATGGGATATCTTTTATTATTCATAAGAAAATATTGAACATAAACATGTGGATATCTCAAATAATAAAAAAGTACTTAAACATGATTTTTTCTTCTTTGAATGAATTGAAAATTTATAGATATTTTGATTGATTAATATTGAGAACTCGAAACAAGTAGTTGCTCATTCAGCACTTTGGAGGATTTATATTTATTATTATTAAATGTTAAGGAATGATATTTGTTGTTTAAATATAGTAATTTTTCTGAAATTGTTACATTTTATGTTTTCAGATACAGGTGCCGTCGAAATTTTGTTTTAGTGTTTATGATTTATGGTACGTTTGAATACACGATTATGAAAGACACTTAGTTCATCTACTCACCAAATTCGCTAGAGTTAAAGTCATATTTAATGGCTTTGCAGATGAGATTGATTGTGAAAAGGCCGGGGATCAACAAAAAATCACTGTAGAGTACAAGAAAAAATTTTTTTTCAACTTCATGTAGTGTTTGACTTGCGCAAATTGAGAGACACACAATTGCTTACAAACATATTTTTTAACAAAGTAATTAGTTATGATAAAATATTCACAACAATAACTTTTAATACTATACACTGATGTCATTCAAATAGAACTAGGTTGCTGCTTTATGTGATTGTAATTACAATGCGGGATGACTTGAAAATTATTGAATATTAATTCGTCAGTCATAAAATCTGCTGACAAAATTTTAAATCATCGCAGAAAATATTGCATGTTTACATGAAAATACCTTCATTGATATGAAAATATTAATGTGATATCCATTTAATTATTATTATGTATTATTTTCCTTCTTTATTTTTTATAGCACTTAAAATCAAGTTTGTACTTTTACTGAAGCATCTTGTTCACTTTTACGCACATCATGTTATTTCAATGCCACAGTCAACATTCAATGACCGATCGAAAGATACACTTTGTTGTTATACTCTCAATTTTGCATGCAAAATGTAATGATAATTGAAGGTCTTTTGAAAGATAAATAAACATGAAATTTCCAAAAATCCATAAAAAAATACAATATAAAGATTTTAAGCTTGAATCATTAATTTAGTGCTTTTTTTATAGAATACCAATCACTATTATTGTTCACACTTTTAATTTTTCAAATGTTAAATTTATTTACTTTATGTTTTTCTAGATGTTCAAATATTACACAATTTGATACTTTTTTATTCGCTTTAAATTAACATTATTTTATTTTATTTTTATAAATTTTATTAAGGTATTTAATGTATGCTGAACAAAATCTCTTAATTAATATAACGAGTGACATTTACCAATTTTCTGTTACATTGATTGTGATCACGCTGACGAAAGAAACCAGACTGTGAAATAAAATTTTAAAGCTAGTGGAGCCGGCTTCAAGTTATTTTACTCGCTCGTGAGTGAGCGCAAATATCTAAGCACGAAGTTTCACCAAGTAATCGCAGCCCATTCGGTTTCAGAGATTATTACGTATTAAGCTTGACTTCCATTATTGCTTTTGTCAAGCTTCGAATAGGGCATTGAAGTCTTTTCTCTTCATTTATTTTTTACTCTCTGTATACTTCCAAGCAACCAGCTAAGCTCTCATCTTACCCTGAGCATGTTCGATGTTTTACGAGCATCTTATTTCAAATGGCTAAATATTATGCAACATTTGTGTATATGACCAGATACATTAATATAAGATGAGATGAATCCACACTCTCATCTAAAAGCATTAGGTGGAAACACAAGGTTAAAGAAAATGTTTCTGAAGATTATATTTGCAATCTATAACTTCCGCCGATTGTATGTAAATAATAAAAATTTATTCTAGCCAACAGTCTTGCTTAAACAAGCATTTGAAATATTTCGCAGTACAAAGTGAGATGAGACTTCCCTCCTATGTTTTAACAGTATTTAAGCTCATAATTTGCTTTAAATTTTAGTGGACATACAAATAGAAACATTTTTCACGTTTTTACTGTCACGATTTGAATACGTTCAAGGTTAAACTTGTTTTCATTGTTCGCAACATGGTTGAACAAAATCGAGCAAAATAATTTAAAGAAGATTCGAAAATGAATTTAAGAATGTTTTTTATTTGAAATAGCTTTGTTTTATGACGACTTATAAGTTATAATTAATTCATATTATGGTGCAAATAAAAAATAAAATATTAGATAATAATAAATAGCATTGAAATTTTATATTCTAAAAATTTAATAGTTTTAGATGAATGAAATAAAAATAATAGAGCCCGAATCAAAAGGAATGGAAGATATTGATCCGGTAATTACATTTATTCTGAAAAGTCAAACATATAAACTGATAAAAAAGTTTCGCAATGCATATCTAAATGGTTAATAATTGATGCCCTTTTCCAATTTTGTTATCTATTTAGAATCATTTGACAATTGGCTTAATTTGATAAGTGCGTGGCATGATATTGTACATCTAAACGGAGTATTTTTCACATGATTGATTATTGGAATCTTGAATGTTTTACCGCCGACATCATCTAACAAGAATAATGTCAATTATTTTGCCAGTAGGTGAAATGACGTTTTATGACTTTGCAGTTTGTCTTCGAATTATAATATTGTTTTATAAATTGTAAGTGAATATCTATTTCTTTTACACATACATATTACATAGCATAGCAGTAAATTTTAATGAATCTACTTTGAAAATAAATTTATTTAATCTTAAGCAAAGCTTCCGAACCACCTATGTAAATATTCGGGAAATAATACTGAGAACATGTCTTTGGGATTTAATTTTTGTTTGTTTCTCTTTTATTCAATGACAAGATTATTGAGAAGTTCAGGTTTGTATGCTGTAATTAACAATTGCATGATGGTGATCTACGATTAATTATTGAGTCGTGGCTTAGAACTTAGTATAAAATTACTAAGAAATAAATAACGAGTTTGATTGGCTAAATAGTCGTTTGAAAATGGACTGAAAATATGTATTCGTATAAAATTAAATAGGGAATCATTACTTTTTAGTCAAAATAATTCAATCATTTATAAATTGATGAGTATTAAGAGAGTAACTTTTTGCAAATAGTTTGATGGTCTTTAAAAACAGAAGAATAATTACATAAGGCTAGTAAATTTAATTTTGTGTTAGCATGAAAGACGCTACAAGCTGAATAGATGTCAAATAACTCAAATTCCTGTGTAATTTTAAAACGTAACAAGGGGTCATTGTACTTCTTATATAATAATGAAATTTATCTGTATGCTTCCATGTTTTTCATCCATTAATTGTTTCTCAATATGCAGAGAGAAATGATGTAATAAATCAGGATGAAACTTCAGTTCTACCATAGAGATATCGTTGCCATGAATGTCTAATAAAAAAGTAAATAATTAAGCCCAAGATTGCCATGCAACTTTGTTTCATTTTCTTTAAAATAGAATTTAAACATACAATGTGGTTTCCTTAGCCTTTTTTGGTTTTTTTTGTTGATAAAGTAAAGCATTAATGCTAAGCAACGATATCTTTAAAAAGCTTACTTGTACAGTGGAACTTCGATAAACAGCTACTTCGATAAACATATAAACCTTGATAAACAGATATTTTTTTGTCCCCTTAAATCGAATTTGTATGAAAAATTGCCTCGATTAACTGATACCTCGATTAACTTATGCACCTTCAGCCATCTGTTTATCAAAGTTCCACTGTAATATCTCCTCAGTAACATTTGTAAGGTGTAATCGAAACAATTGAAGTGTTCTATGTGGTTATATTTTTATAAAAAGCTTATTATTTAAACCTTAAACTTTCAAGCTTTTTTACATTACTTATTCCAAGTTCAAAATTAAACTTTTTTAAATTTTTTTCGAAATTTCTGTGAAATAATTTAAAAAATGAGCTTAAGTACGTTGTTTAATGTTTAACACTTCTTCCAGATATCATATAGACATCTTTATTATTTACTACCATAGTTTTCACGATAAATTAAATTTACTATCATTTATAAATTTCACGATCTAATTAAACTCTAATGTGATTTCATCATGAAAATTATTTTCTCTACTCTGATGATTAATGTTTACTTAATTCGAGGAAAATATTTTTTTAACTCAAATGTATTAATTTTCAATAAAAGTGTCTTAAAATATATGTAGAATATTTAACAAATGGTCCCATAGAAATATTTGTTATCGTTAGTACTTAAAACACGACGCATTAACATATTAATTGATGTGATCATTTTATGTTGTTTTGTTTTCTTTACTCTTTTTAGGTGAAAATATGACAGCAGATTACAGTAATTAATGTGGAGTTATTTTTCCGAAACAATGGTATGTAAGTATACTGACCATACTCAATTAAGTAATCCATCACATTAGCAATGCTAAATTGGACAAACAAGCGAATGAAAAGAAGAGTGAAGTTCGTCATATGTAGTTCACATTGTACAGAAACTAAAGTAAGAAAGTAGTAGAAACATGTGAAAAAATCATAAGAAATCACATTTGAGCTGTTGAGCAAAATGACCGTTGTTTTATCATTAATGATTTATTGAAAAATAAATTTTTAATTAATGAAAATACAACAGAAACAAGGAATAAAAAAATACTAATGATTTTTGCTTGGTGGTTTTTTTTTCCATTATTTTATTAAAATTATTTCTGCTTTTGTTCAACCAAATTAAATATTTATTATCGAAGACAATATTTGTTTCTATTTACATAAATTAATCTTCAAACTTAATAATTTAATCGTCACAGAAGCTTAATAGTAATGTCCAGCATCATAGTGACCAGCATCATAGTGACCAGCATCATAGTGTCCAGCATCATAATGCCCATAATCGTAGTCATAATTATTCAATTGTGGAACAGACTGTGTATAGTGATGTGTTTTTGCTACTTGCACTGTTTAAATGGAACAAAAAAAAATAATTCGTGATTAAGTTTCAACATTCTTTACTAAGTATAATGGCAAATAAAAGAAGAAAAATAACTAACATTTTCGCAAACCTTCACCATAATTAATCCGAATACTCAACCACGACAAAACAAAAATGAACTTTGACTACTCGAATTTTGCAGTTTTTCTCTTAAAAAGAAGCATAAATAACAGAAAGAGAAAAACCACAGACTTTGAGCAGTGACGATTTCATTGCCACAGGCGATTTAAATCTGTATTTAAATTATTTAAACTTTAAATAAAGTAAAAAGAAGTTCATTCTTGTCAAAAAGTCAACATTTCATGTTTTTGTATGTTGATATTTTTAGAAGTAAAATGTTTCACGATAATCTCTCGTAACACAATTAACAAGCCTTTACAAATTACTTACTTAATAAATTAATCGTGATTGTTTTTGGCGGAAATATAAGATTTCATTTTTCCCATTGGTCATTAATTAAGTATGTTGGTAAATTTTTACAACTGAAGATCTAACTTAAAAATTTGCAGCTAAATATTGCAATGAAACTAAACTTAATGTAAATAAACAGAAAAGGTCGTTTAAATACATAACAATGGTAACTTGTCATTGGACAACAAAAGTCTTTGTCAACTCATAATAGAATTTATATCTTTTGGTTCTTTTCATTGATCGTAAATTAAAACGTGAGATAATTTTACAACTTCATTCATCAGTAGCACCGTGCGCGCGCGAATTTTCTGATGTGAATTTTATAAACAATCGGATGATTTATATTTAACTTACTATCTCTAATACAGAAATTGAATCTCTTCTTTACTAAGTATTTAAAAAATTGTCCTTTTGCTTTGATCTCAATACATTTTAATTAACTACATTGTTTTCAACGAAACAGTAGCTGAAATGTCAAATATTGAGCTTACGAGTGTCAAATTTGAAAGATCAAGTTCGTGATCTTTCCAGATTAATTCCAGATTAAATAATAAGCAAACGAGAGGTTACTGCTTTTCTTCACATGGATGATTTCTTGCTTCATATTGCGACACCACGTTGAGCTTCTTTTGTTATTTCTTCAAACGCGATTTTTATGAGCATTTTAAGCGTACAAGAAATGCATAAAAACTATCACTTAGAAATCTTGTTGTTATAATTAAAAATCTTCAATTATGAAACATATAAAAATAGAATCATGAAAATTACTGTAACACTCTCATTTTTTTTCTCGTAGTTTTGTAGTCAATCGTCTACGTAATTTTCAAAACCTTTTTTTATTAAGAACTTACCCACTGGAGCTTGCTTATATACAACTGGAGCTTGATGTAAGATTTGTTTATGAACTACGGGAGCTTGGTGAACTATGGGAGCTTGGTGAACTATGGGAGCGTGATGAACTACTGGAGCTACAACTTTAGTAGCGTGAACTGTTGGAGCTGATTTTGAAACAACAGCTTGGAAACCGTGAACATCGTCAGCAGTGTAATCAACAGTTCTGACTGAACCATCAGGTTCTACTAATGAGTATTGTCCTTTTACGACTCCACCATCACGGACTTCACTTTGATGTTTGATGTCTCCTGTATGGTGATCCTGTACACCATAATTGAACGAGTATCTTGGATGATCCTATATTTAAATCCAAGGCATTAAATTTCTATTGACACTTTCAATTTTTTTCACATCTCACATAATAATCCACTGCATGACCGGGAAGGGCCACAGCACATGAAATAGCTAATGCAGCAAGCACAAATAACTTTGAAGTCATATTTTTAAATTTGTTATTTATATTTTAGAATTATGAATTATTTTTAATATTCACTAGCGTTTCCTTCAAACGTCAAAATTGTACTGTTTCACATCTCATCTGAAGATTTGTTTTTATACAGAAAATGGTATAAAATGACTTGAACGAAATTTTTCATGTGAAATAAATACAGAGAAAAACTTAATAAAAATATGTTCATGTCTCTCTCTTTTTCTCTCGTACTTAACATGCTAGTTTTGTGCTTTAAGAAAAAAGCTTCACGTTTAGATGTAAAATAAAGCGTATGTTGGTGCAAGAAATAAAAATTAATAAGTGTAGCATTGTACTAAAATATAAAAAACTTTATTATTTTGGATGGTGGGGTGTGAGAATACTCGGTCTTATTATAGGATTTTTACCATTGCAATGGTATAAATATTATTTGCTATGACCTGTATAAGGTCGATGAAGTTTGTTAATTATATATTTAAAATAGCAAAAACTGTGAATTCAAAAAATTATGGAATCTTCGACTTTTTATTAACGCAGATTTATAAATTTATATTTTTCTAATTATCATAAATGAACTTTATGGTTATATTTAGAGCAGAATAAACTGTTTCTTTGAAATTTGAATTAAACATAGACCGAACAACAATAAAGGCTGTATCGTTATCAAATCTTTGATTCTCTTTTAATTTTTGCATTTCGATTTTTTTATTTCGCCTTGTCATAATTTGTGTGAAATTTTCATCAACATTCGAATGTAATAATTTCTCAAATGACAGCTTCTCAGGATAAAAAGTCATGCAATATTAAATACCTACCTCTATAAAAATAATTCTCTTAAAAATTTGCGCAAAAAATTAAGTCACTTCCATAGCTTTTTGTGTTTTTGTGGTAAATATTAGCCTTGTACGCAATTCAATCTCTAACTAGGAAAACAAATTTTAAAAATCTAATTTGAAAGAATCAGCAATATTTTCATGAAAGCATTGATTGAGAATAAAATTTGTAAAACATAATGACAAAACATATACAAAACATCATGTTTAGTGTAAAATTAATTATCTATTTGTTGAGGGTCATCATCCATGCATGAATAAAAATGTTTGAACATTTCTCCTGACTTGACAAATGATTTGAAACATTTGTTTTTGTATTTTAATAAGTATTCAGAATTACAAAGCATTTTTAATCCGATATATATCATTGCGTAATCAAGTTTAATGTTGTTAATTATAAATAAAAAAGTCTCATAAAATTTTATTTAAAAACATGCATTAAAAGTGAATTGTGCATTGCAGTGGACCTGAAGAAACTTTTCAGATTATCTAATTATACGTTTTACAGTGTGAAAATAAGTATTATGATTATTCATCATCAATAAAGGCTCTGAATGTGAAAAAAAATCTCACAGAAAAAAAGCGAAAAATCTCGTGCATTACTTTTTCTTTCAATTTCAACTTGTAGAGTAAGTATGCAACATTATGATACCTTTGTTTGCCTGGGTGCTTAGTCCACGGAAAATAAGAAAAAAAGAAACAAAGAAATATAAAATGTGGGTTATGATGCTGAGGGCGGTTCCATAATGACGTCAAATCTTGAAATTATATCGGATGAACTTGAATCATGTGAATTATTCACAAAGGGTTTTTAAAAAATTTGTGTACACAGAACTCTAAATTTTTGGTGTGAAGAGCTACCTACTTATGTGAACGAATTCTGGTTTGGAAACTGTCACAAATTATCTGCTTAGTTCTTATAAGAAAATATTTTCAGTATCATTTGACAATTTCGAAATATTTTCATGTAAGATGATAAATAAGAACTGAAAAAATGTTGAAAAAATTATTTAAAAAAACAAGAAATTAATGACGCTTAATGCTCCATATATAACTGAATATACATTTTTATGGCATAATTTATGTTCAAAGTGAACCAACCTGAAGAAAATCTACTCATAAAAATCACTTACATCTATTTTCTTATGATTTTTCTTACAGAATTCACTTATCTTAGGAGATACATGAATATTACTAACATATTTCATATCATAAAGCAGTACTGAATAAGATTTTTTGACTCTACTTTTGTTTTCATATTGATACCTTTCAGTTTATTTCTTTTGTCTTAAATTAAACTAAAAATAAAGTACACAATTTTTCTATTTCCATTCACAACTTAATTCACTCTGCATCATTGTCAAAGCAAGTGAATGAAGATGATGACGAAAAGTTTCAATTGTCATTTAATTTGAAATTATACTCATCGCAGATAAAAATTGCTTGTAAGCATTAATACAGGAATTAAGAAAAACCTAAACATTGTATTGATACACTTTTGATGTAGTTTTTGATATTCGACAATATTTTTTGATTGAACGGCTTAACAATTCATTGCCAGAGTGAGACACGGTAATTTTACGCTTTAGTAGTTTGAACTTTGAAATCATGTTGCAATATAAATTTGATCATTTAAATATTCGCCGTCTTGTATCTGAGTTTATTAAGATTTACTCGACCACCTAGTTAGTAACATGGAATGCAATTATCCACTTCTCATTTGCATTACTCAATAATATTCTTCAAAATATTTCGAAAGTCATGGGTAATGATCCCAGAATCCAAAATAATATACAAATTGAAAGTTTAAAAACATTTTCACATCAGTGATAGATTTGACAAAATGAATCTATTTGTAGATCTCAATAAATTTCAAATTTTATACAAACCACATCTATCTATAAATGTAATATTTTTATATTAATTTTCATATTTACTGCACGATTCCAATTTATTTATTATTGTCATTTAAAAATTAACAAATTAAAAAAATCTCATCGATTGAACTTTTCTTCAAAAAACTTACATTGACCATTCATTTATTATTATCATATTTACGATCTATTTATGTCTTAATGGAAGCATAGAAATATTTCATTGATTTATGTACAATCTTTTTTGTACATATTTTATGGTACCGCTACTTCTACTTTTAAGTTTGATAATTGCATAAATGTTTCTTAATCGAACCTAAGATGCTGCTGTTGAACATGCAAATGATGGTGGTGATTGTAATGAGTCGTAGAAAATAAATTAGGTGAACTTGGTTGCCCTGTTAGCAGCTCTGTCATAAATTGAATGTAGGTTATCGCGAGACGTAGAGTTTCTATCCGTGACAGTCGTTTTTCGTAAGCAAATGTTGGAACTTTACGTCTCAGCTTGTCAAATGCTTGAATTTTTGTGGGTTATTTTTTATTTTCCAGTTGTGTGAATAAAACTTGACCTTCTTACCTTCATTTAAATTGAACATTCTTCTTCTTTCCCTTATATTTGCAGCTCTTCGTTGTGCCATTGATGCAACTCTTCGTCTTGTCTTCTTTGTGGTTGCAGTGTTTGATGGATTTGAAGATGAGTTTGATGGTGTAAGAGCTGTTCTAGGAGATGAAAGTCTTTGGGAGACAAAATTTCCCACTTGCGTTCGAGGCCAAATGGCTGAAATATTTTTCGATCAATATTGTCATAAATAATTTAGTTGAAATTTCAAATTATTATTCACCTAAATCCTGAAATCCTATGATTTCGTTATAAGATGTTGAACCATCTTGATTCCACATTTGAGGAAATGCAACTTCTGTTGAATTATAAACAGCATTCGTGTTGGGCATATGATTGCCATTCCAAGATTCACCAGCAAAATGTGTCATTACGAATAATTTGATCTGAACTCAAAGAATTTTTTTCTAGAACTGAAGTGAAAATCTTTGAAATTTCCATGAAAAATTTTTGCAACATCTTCCAAAAATGTCATTGGTCGTATTTTAACATTTTAAGGGCGGGGCGATTTGCTTACGTAAGGATTCTACAGGGTTTCCGACTTTTTATGAGATTTTCATTTCACACTCTTATATTAACTCTGATACGTTCAGATTTTCAGACAAAACAATTTTCTCATCTTTGCGCATATATCCATGAGAAGAAGAGAAGAGACGTAATACCTAACATGAAAAATCTCAAAAACCTTCAATGGTTTTCTCCCTTTTGATATGAAATAATAGAGAAAAAAAACTTTTATTCAATTTTAATTAAAATCGTATCACAAGTTTTCTCCTCAATTTAGAATGAAAAATAATTTTAGATATATTTATAAAATATAATTCATAATTTTACGAGGCATGAAATTGCAGACAAAAATGAAACATATTTAGATTCGTAGATGTTTAGTTTCATAAAGAGGGTGACAAAAGTTGCATTTAAAAAGGAGTGACGTAAACAAAATCATGTTTTCACCGCATCTCTAATTGAGTGAGACGAAATATTTTTGCTACATTACTATGTGCATATATGTATCTACATATATCCTTGCATAATCTGAAATCGAGCAAAGTGCAGATGAAATGAATCAATTTTTCTTATTTTTATACATATTAAAACTAAATAGGACCGGACAAAGCGGAATTTTATTAAATTAAGCATTATTGCTTTATGTAATAGTGTTTTGAAATACATAATTGCACATAATTAACAATTTCTTAACTAGGATAAAAAAGTTATCTAATATGATAAAAAGAAATCAATTAAACTTTAGATTTTTTTATAGTTTCAATATTAAGGACGAAAGTTTCTGAATGAGAATTTTTATTTTATAAACAAAAAGTGTGAACAAATACGTAGAAATTGATAGCTTGACCGATAGCAAGGTTATTTAAAATGTATATAACATTAAAAAAATATGTTTTTACATAAAGATTGATAGGAATTTTATGAGAAGAAGCTTATCAGTATCATTCAGTTCGTGATGGAGTTAAAAAGTCTAAAATTTAACTATTTTGCTTTTGCATTACTTTTTCTATTTATTGCGCCTTCTAGCGCATGGTTAGATTCTGTTGCTCAAAGAGGAAAAAGTATTGATCATTTTAATATTGTATACAAGTTATAATTAGTTATATGATTATTGATTTTCGTTCTTAGATTTTGGACAGTTGAGTGCTAATATGGGAAAGGGAATTGTTCAAAACGTGCCTAACATGATTCCGTCACCCGAATCAATCTTTAGATTATCTAAACAGGGACTGTTGGGACTACCTACTGAAGCTTTGTTAACAGCTATTGACAAAGTTTGTAGGTTGAAGATTTAAATCGTTCAATAATTTGTGAATTTAAAATTGACTTTTGTAGGTTCATACGCTACTGCTGCTAGGAATTCAACGATGCCTTACAAGCAACCCAAACTTGAAGAAATGAACTATGTCTTAATGACGGATACTGAGAATATTTCTATTCCTGTAACAGAATCATTAAGATTATGGAGGCATGAAAAGTTTGATCCTCAAAAAAAGGTTGTAGTTATGGTTACTGGATGGAACAGTGATATTGATGAAGAGAATAGTGCTGCAGATGGTTTATGGGCAGCTTATCGTTCTCGTGGTGACACAAACTTCGTTCTTATTGATACAGCTCGATATGTTGATACATTATACGCTTGGTCAGCATTTAACACGATGGACTTAGGCCACGGACTTGGCCTAGGTTTGACAGAACTAGCTGATGTCGTTCCTATTGATAATATTCATGTGATGGGACATTCTTTAGGGTAGTGTCAATAAATAAAATTATTGATTTTTTCATCAAATTAATAAATATTTCTTCTTGAAGTGCACACATTGTAGGGTTTGCTGGAAGAGTATTTCAAGAAAAAACTGATAGAATTCTTAAAAGAATATCAGGATTTGATCCAGCAAGGGTAAAATATGAACTAAGATTTTAATGATATAAATATGAAAATCTTATTTTTCTAGCCATGCTTCCGTGAAGGCGAAGTTCTCCAAGGTCTGGGGAGAGGTGATGCTGAATTTGTCGGTAATAAAGGATAATGAATATTAACTTAAAGTTAAAAATTTCGTTGCTTTTATTAACTTGCAGACATAATTCACTCAAATTCTGGGGCACTAGGAAAAACAGATCCTATAGGAGATGCAGGTAAGAGATGCACTTAAGTGTTTGGTGTTATTTGGATGTAATGAAATTTTTATTCCAGATTTCTATCCAAACGGAATTGTTTCAGTGATGCCTGGATGCGTATCATTTCTTTGCTCGCATTCTAGAGCTTGGAAATATTATGCAGAAAGTGTCTATAAGGGAAATGAGATGAATTTCATTGCTAAGAAATGTGGATCATTATATTCGTATGAAACTAATGCATGTATTCGTAAAGAGATTCCAATGGGCTTTTCATGTCCAAGTACTGCTAAAGGTAATTTTTTTTTGAAAACAAATAGTCATTCTCCTTTTGGACGTGGAAAATTCTCGTTGTTCAAATGATTAGGCATCTTAAAACACTCAAGCAGATTTAATATAAGTCAGAAACTGAACAATCAAGCATCAGACAATAAATCTTTTGTTGTATACCAAACAGACATGTAAGCAATATCTTTGTTATAATCTGATTACCTCGGTTTAATGTCAAAAAATTATGAATCACTTTATTGTGATTGAAAGTAATTTAATAATTGTGTCACAGTCGAAATAAGATTATATCTTTCATGATATTTTGTTGATATCATTTAATAAATTGAAAGTTTATGAAGAAGTGTCAGCACACTTTTCCCCTTTAAAAAAGTCAAATCCCTTAAAGGACACAAGTAAGTAACTGAAGTCATGTGAATGAGAACAGATTTTCCAATAATTTCATAGCAAATAGGCGTGTGAAATTATGACAAATTAAATAATCTCCCTCTTTTTATTTTCTTCTGACAAGATCGCAACAATAAACTAGAGTTGCGAGTTGAACCCTTGCAGAATTCAGTAATTACCATTGAAGCTTAACTTCCACTTGTTTTCTTCTAACATATTGCCTTTTGAAATTGCATAATTTCCATGACTATTATGTGGTTAGAAATGTTTTAATTTTTTTAGGTCAGTTAAATCGCTAATCATGTTGTTCAGTTTTAAGATCGAAATTTAATGTTGTTATATTGAAATTGGAAGTTATTGTTCAAAATAAAACTGCTTGAATTATTGGAATTTTATTGATTACTTATGGTTTAGATATTTAATGAATCAAATATCTTTTTCATTGACGGAATAATAATAGATTGAGAAGAGAAGTCAAGCTGGCCGACCTTAAAAGGAATGCGGTGCTTATTTTACACGTTCGTGAATATCCATGTATAAGCTGGGAAGTATGTAAATTGTTAGATATTTATTTCACATCTACGTTTATACATGTTTTTATTCTCAGTGTTTTATGTGGAAAATTTAGATCATTTAAGATTAATTTGTAAAACAAATCATTCTATTGAAGTATTTTTATTCGTTCACATTTTGAGATTTTATTTATTTACAATTATACAAGGCTTATTGCTGCTATTTATATGTCGATTCATATGTTTCTGTTGTATGTCCGAAATGAAGGAAACATAAATTAATAAATAAGTCAGAATGAATTTGAAAAGATGGAGACAATAATGGATGAACACAAGAAAGAATGGAGGAAGTTTGCCATCATCGCAACTGCGCAAAGCTGCTTTCGTACAAATTAAATATTTTCTTCTTTAGAATAGAAGTCAAAACTTTAATAATAAATAATGAGCATGAGGCCTAACAATGATGTAGATAGTGCTTATTCATTCAAACATTTCGTTCGAGAAAACATCAAAATCTTCTTTTTTAAATGGCAGCCATAAGGATTGAATCACATGCAGTTAGAGAGCGCAGCGATGGAAATTCTTAGTGCCAGACTGGAGAGTTAACATGTGCTGGGTAAGCAGCTGCGTATTGGTTGTAAACTGGAGAGTGGGCAGCGTATGAAGCTGATTTTTAAAAATTTGAATAATTAGTCATTGTCGAATTATTTTTAGTTATTCAAGAATCTCACCAACTGGAGCAGCATAAGCCAATGGAGCAACAGCAGGGGCGACATGTTTAACGACTGCTGGACTTCGTATTCGCTGACGACCTGCAGCATAAGCGACAGCTGGTGCGTGGTGTGCAATTGGAGCTACAACCTTAGCGTGAACTGTTGGAGCTGATTTAGAAACAACAGCGTTGAATCCGTGAACATCGTCAGCAGTGTAATCAACAGTTCTGACTGAACCATCAGGTTCGACCAAAGAGTATTGTCCTTTTACGACTCCACCATCACGGACTTCGCTTTGTGACTTAACATCACCAGTCAAACCATCATGAACTCCATAGTTGAAAGAGTATTTTGGGTGTGACTAGAAAATTATTCGAAAAAATATAAAATAAACATGTAATTCATATAGTTTTTATTCTGCAATTAACAATCAATATTATATTTCCTTCCTAGTAACAAATGATTATTTGAAAAAACTCGCGTTGTTCTCTTGGTACGAAAAAAATTGAATTAAAAATAACCATGATCAAGGTCTTAGTTTAGCTGCCCAGAAGCTCATTCTTTACAGTTACATATCAAATTAGGTAAATTTATTGTGTAATTCGTGAAGAGAAGCTTAGGAAGGCGTGCAAGAGCAGACTCTTAAAATTCGAGTTGATTTAATTGAATACGTCATGCAATTGAAATGTCAAGAAAACTTTTATTAACGCACGAATCATTTAGGAACTTGACTTTGATTTTGATTTTTGACACGCATAAAACCAAATAGATATTCATAATGAATTTGATACTTACGTAGTAATCTCCATGATGGTCTCCAGCGATATAAGCAGCAGGAAGAATTGAAGCTGAAGCAACTCCGAGGATGGCAAGAACAACGAAAGACTAGAAAAATTAAAGGAAAGAATTTTTTTCTTATAATGAATTCACATAAGGCTAATTTTAATTATTTTTCTCCTTTAAGTAAATCTATGCACGTATTTTTATCAATTAGTTGTTCTCTCAATAATTCACAAATTTATTCTATCTTAAATTGGTTTTCATATGTACATCACATGAATTCTAAATATCAAGAACAATTTTTATTTCACTCACTTTAATGAAAGCCATTTGACTGATTTTTTGTTTTTTTAAGAACGAAATGATTTAACTTCAAAAGCTTTGAAATGAATGATAATAAAATCAATCGGCATCAGGCTTTATATATACTAAAGCCAAAACTATTATCCGGGGTTTGTAGCTGCTATTCACAGTATTTCTTTTCCTTTTTGTGTGCTGTCTGTAAGTAGCGATTTGCTAAGCTTTTTCACATTTAATTTTGTTCGTTTGAGACAGAAAATAACGAGATTTACACTTGAAAAAGGTATCGTGTTGAGGCAAGAAAAGTCCGTTGTTTTCTTTCAATACTTATTAAGTATGCATAACGCAAATAATAGTTTACAATAATACATACAAATAGAATCTTTCGCTTCTCGAATACGACATTTAGTGTTTGTGTTATTATTTCTTTTTCTTATAATATATGCTGCATATTTGTCAAGGTTATTGGAGGTTTCATATTGTTATTATTATTTTCTTCCCCGAAGCATGAAATCTGTTTTGTGGCTTAAAAGTCTGGCGAGTTCATTGGTAGCTGTTTTGGTGATACTTACTACTTATATCTTTTACGATAACTTTAAATGTCATGCTCTAGATTCAAGTTTCAAGCAGGAAAACATTCTGCTAAGAGTTCTTAAAAACTTTAATCCATTTGAGTTGATTAAAATTTAGGATAGAAAATGCGAGAAAATGGATTTGAGTTTTTTTATTTACACATTTTATCTAGATTATTTAATTTCTTCCTTTTTTTTGAAAATTAAATCTGTAAATAAAATTGTACATGTTTCCACTAAATTGAGAACTTGTATCAAAAAGAAGATTAGTTGCGTCTACTTTTTTGGAAACATTAGTTAATTCGTAACTTATTACTAGATATGATCAGAGTCTTTTAAATGAAGACGTTAAGATTAGCTTGGATAGATTTTATTTCAATCAACAATCGGAAATTAAACAAATATATATTTTGAACTTGCAATCATTCAATGGCCTTCAATCGGATACTTAGAATTTACTGCTGGAAACATACTGATGGACTTAGATAATCTGAATAAGATGTTTAGAAAAAATTATAAAACTATTGCAATTTTTTTTAACGTCCTGTAGATTTGTGTTACAGAATGAACTTTACGCCTTCTGTTGATTAATCTACAGAAGGAACTTAGGTAGGCATTAATCTTTTTCAATTATTTTCTTACATAAGTTTGCCCTTTAAATAAAATGTGGTTGTGCTTCATCAATTAGGTAGGTGTTCAATTTTAATTTTATATTATTATAATATTTTTTGTATCAAAACGGTAAAATTAATCAATATTGTCCGAAATTTGCTTATAAGTATATACGAGAAAAGAAACAAAATATTCAAGAGAAACAAAAATCTTCAATGATTTGTATAATATTTTTGTAAAGACAAAATATTTTCACTCCCAAGAATAAGCAAAAAATAAATGTCATTAAAAAGTCCAAAATGTTTTAGTAAAATTTCCGGGTAGTTTAACTAATAATTTAATCGATCTTTCGTTAATAGAGAGGAACAATGAGTGAAGCTTTTATGGTTAAAAGACATTGTAGTAGTCAATAAATCATTATAGCCAGTAGATCAACAATGTTAAACTGTCTGGTTTGAAGAACATTAAGCTTTGAAAAGAGTTAAGTGCAATCGATCATTGTGAAACTTATGCTGGTGACAGATCATTTATGATTGTTGAAGGAAATATGTAAACGAATACAGTTAAATAAAAATTCTCAAATTATTTGTTGGCAGTTAGTTCATATTATGTACAAATTATCGAAAATTTAACAGAACATAACGCATGAAAAATCAAATACTCTTTAATAAAAATTTTCTTAGATATCAAAAATTTAATTATGAAAACTTATGATGTTGCTGACCTATAAATGTTTCACAATGAAAATGTGCTTCGAACGTGAACTGTGAAATTATATATTTACTCCTCGAAATTTCCCAGCTTTAATTCAGGTTTTAAATCTGATAGGTACGTAAAGACAAACATCTAAGCGTACTTACGCGGAAGCGTGAAATGAAACTCATTAACAGCATACATGTTTATCTATGAAATTAAATGTTTGCATTTTTAAACAAAGACGGCAGAAGACGAAACTCAATCTGGGTTAGTCATGCGATTCTTTTGAAGTTACACGGTCGAGGTGTCGTTACATAATTTTCACTCTTGATTTCAATGAATGTATCAAGTTTCCAGACTATTAGCGTTGTTGAGTGTTACGTGGTTAGTGCGCATTGTAAATAACATTTAACATCACAATAACTTCTTTAAATATTATTATTTAATTTGAGCAAAACAGTTTCTTAATCCACTTCTTTTATTTATAATATCTATTTAAAATTATAAACAATTATACGATAAAACGAATATGCAAATTTTCGTAAAGATTTTTGCCTCAATTTATATAAAAGTGCTTTGCAATTATAATTCAACATATTTTTTCAAAGTTTGGATACCTGTTTAGAATATTTTTGTAATTTACATCATTAAAATGTAAACTTGTATATTTTTGATATTTGTAGTGATCCCTGATTGTTTAACATCAAAAATTAATAGCTTTTGCGATATGATTAACAATATTTGTCAAATGTCGCCTACATGGAATTTATAATGAATCATGAGGATCTAAAAGAATATTCTCCTTATGCAAAGACAATCAGCAAACATGGAAATTTTCATTGTCATTTGTTTCATTAAGGTTACAAAAAAATGTTTACGTAGAAAATCAAATTATTTATTAGACTATGGCCATTGAAAAGAATAAAAATCCATTGAAAACGACACGTTATGGAAGTTGAGAATTAAATCAATTTTTCAGCAGAAAATCTCGCATATCTTTAACCACACCTTGCAAGGCCGTTTGAACAAGCGGACGCTTGAACTATGAGTTTTCGTTATATTTTATTATATTGTTCATATAATTACCCAGCTGTTAGCAGTTCGCAATAGATAGACACGGACATATTCATCGATTACTCATTTTCAAACATAGCGTCATAATCTTTATACATACAAGTTTGATAACTTTACATGTAGCTATTGAACAATACTAGAAGAAAGAAACATCATTTATGTTGTATGAAGAGAAGAGCAGATATTGGGAAACAAATTTGATATTTATCTTGCCTTTAGTATATTTCACATTGATAAAACTTTGACTTTACATTATATCAACTAAACATAATTTACAAATGATTTTAGAATATGCTTTTCTCTTGGTTTTGACATAAACCTGCATGCATAGTTTTTCATCAAATAATTTTTTTTAATTCGCTTTTGCCCATAGCCAATTACTATTGATCGTGAACTCGGCGTGGAACAGAAAAAAGCAACTTCGTTTCAACTTGAGTTGGTTCGTTAAGTGTTGCTTTTGCTCAAAAAGCAAATAAAATTTTGAGCAGAATGCGCTATGATTAAAAAAATTGTGTCAAGTTGAAATATGCGGAAATTTTCACCGTGCTGCGCTTTTACGAAATTTTTATGATCATAAGAAGCTTACGCTATTATTATTTCGTAAGTTCCCTTTACAAGTGATATTTATTTAATTTGGATATATTGTAAAAATTTGGCAAAGTCTAGTCAACGTTTTAATGGATTGTTAAAAACTTTGCAAAATAATCAGTTATAACATTTCTCCTTCACCATTCTGATCGATTATTCCATTTACAAAGCGGAGTTGAAATTTACATGAGTATGCAAAACCCACATCATTGGGTTTAATTAATTTGTTATTAAATCTCCGATTTTGATATTATTTCCATAGTAAATGTTTAACAATGAAATCAGGAATAAACCGGATATAATGAAACCATAATTCAATTACAGACAGCACAACACCAAATAAGACACCCATTGAGATTTACCTCCATGTCGTTTAATTTTCTGATTAGTCATACACGGCAGCTCACATTATTTTGTGTATTTATGCTTTTATTGTTTAAATACTGTCTTATTAGCAAATTGTGTTGAATTGAATTGAACATGGAGACAAAATTGAGTAAAGATAATGAATGGATTTGTAAGCACCAAGGTTAAAAACAAATCTTATTAATCGTTTATCTTAAGTAGATAGATGCAATAAGTAAATTTTATTATATAAATTTATTGTATATTAATTGTTTCTTTATTTTAAATTAATTACTGTTGTAGTATTTACTTAACATAAATTCACAGATGATGCATCATCAGCCTCAAGTCTTGGGCAAAACATGAAAAGATTTCCATCTGAATAGTCTGTTGCGCTTTAACTGTGTAAATAGCACAAATTGAGTTTTTCTTGAACATTCTTTGAGAAATAGATTCAATCTATTAGTAGTTAACAGCTGGTTACATTAATGCATAATTATAACTTTATATTATTAAATTCTTTCTAAAAAGATATTTTTAATGGCTTAGGTTTATATTTTAAAAAATATTTATAAACAAAACATGTTCCAAGTAAGAATTCACAGAAATTACAAAAAGAATTAGCGGTAAAATTATCTAATTGAAACTTTGAAAGGATACTTTGTATCTTCTCTAAGGCTAAGATAAAACATCCAGAAATGGCAAGCAACTTAATAAAATGGTAAGAATAATTCATGTTGACATGTATTTTGTAAATAATGAATACATTATTATGAGCACTTGTGAGCATAATTGAAAGTAAGCACAGATTGTTGCCAAAATGTTCACCACATAAGTCATTCGACGAATGTTAATAAACTTCGCATATAATTGGATTTCTCAAATTGTCAAGATTATTCGAAAACCACGCAATATGTCATTTGTTTCATTTTTTGTTACAAATAAGTCCCGAAGTTCTTATTTTAAGTAAAATTCCAATAAAACTCAAATATCCAGATTCGCATCTGTTGACAAAATTTTTCTGCGTCAAATTTCTGCATCTTTTGAGACGCCTTTAAAGGAAGGGGAATTTGTAGTAGTAAAATTGTAAACAATCTAAACAAGACATTTTTAAATAGACACTACTTTATATTGAAAAACTAAGATTATACTGATAAAAATGACTCTACAAGAATGCAGGATATGTGATTCCAAAGAGGGATGCTATGATATTTTCAAAGAAGAGCTAAACTTTGGCCCTACAGTTAGCAGAAATGTAAAAGTTTACATTATTTTGAATAATTTTCTTTATGAAAAGGTAATCATTAGTAAACATTGATGTTTTTATACAATATAATAATTATATTTTATTCAGCTTTACACTCCCGACGAGCATTCCTCTTTTATCTGCCATTTGTGCTGCAATAAACTTTGCGATTCCTATTCTTTTATGACTGCTGTAAGAAAATCGGAGCAACTTCAAAAACAAGAAAAAGTTGAATTGAAAAATAACAGTCGGAGCTCACCTCAAAAACCTTCAATCATAAAAATAATTGTAGATACAGCGAAAGAAAAAGTTGGTTTTACGGATACAGCTTTAGAATCTATTCAAAATAATGACATCTCAGATCATTTCGAAAATGAAGTTAAAACTTGCCCAATCGCCGGTGATATAACAAAAATTAGTGAAGAGAACAACGATAATTTTATGGAGCAATCAAATTGTTATCGAGAATTAAGACAAGATCCTTTAGATGAGCCACAATTGAAAAAAACCAAACTTCATCAGATAACAAATGGCTTGCCTTCTTCTATAACATATACACATTATGAATTTCAACAATATATAGAGCAAGATCAAACAGTGATTACTTTGAATGTCACCCCTGTTACTGCTGAGCGACCTGAAAAAGGAAATTATAAATTCGACCCATTATTGACAAACTCTTGCGATACTTCTTCGATATATAAATGCAAGCATTGTATAAAAGCTTTTTCGAAAGCTGAGTTTTTATTAAAACATACAACGACATCTCATCTCTGTCTATTATGTATGGAAATTGCTAGTAATTACAAAGAACTTAGCGATCACATGAGAAAATTCCATTCAAGTATCAATTGTGCGTTTTGTGGTAAAATTTGTAATTCGACATCCAATTATAAACAGCATTTGAAGAAGCAACACTTCATTCATTTGCCACCTCATGTTGGAATTTTAAGAAACTTTGATTTTGAATAATAAATTGAATTGAAAATATAATTGTGTTGTGTTTTTAATGATGTTTTGATAGAATATTTCATAAAAAATTGCCTTAAAACATTTAACTGAATTTCCGGTCCGCGGAAAAACTACCGCGGGGCCAAGCAATATTTTTCGAGGGGACAACTTGCGCACTTTCACTTTTATTTATTGTTTTGAAAAGTGTAAATTAAAAATATTTTCGGCAAGGAGCAATGACATTGCTAAAGCTGCCAAGATTATTAAGTAAAAGAACTAGTAGCAAGAATAGCAGATTGGAACTAATCAAGAATCAAATTGATTTCTTTTGGTCATCAAGATTGCGTAGAAGCATTCAAGTTTATAATTTTTATCGTAAAATTTGGGATGAAAAAGCTTTACGTGAATTCTTGAGACACATGAAGAGTAATTTCGTAAGTAAAGCTATTAAACTTGCTATTAAATTTTATTTCTACATGTTGATAATTCATTTTCTATAAAGTTCAACAGAAATCGAAAACTTTTACTATCATCTCTGGGGTTATTTTTATTCGACTGGGAAAAAGAAAGGATAGAACTTGACGAAACCGTACAAGAATTCTTCAATGAATTTGAGAGAATAGAATTTCTGAAGTTTCAAGCAACTTTCTCTGCTGATGGAAAAGTACAAATGTCAAAAGATTCCATTGTCGGATCCAACCACGAACAATGTAACAAATATCGATTAAACGACATGGAAGATTGGGAATTTTATGTCCGACGCAATAACATGACTACCTGGCGTCGTCAAGAAGATGAAGGCCATTATGCGTATAAAGGTTCACAAATGTTATAAAATTATTTCATGCAAAATGTTAACACCTTTTCTGAATATTTTTAGTTTACGTTAGTTATCCTGATATAACTGCTGAAGACTTTTTATTTGTGCAAACTAATATCGATTACCGTCGTAAGTGGGATGATACAGCTGTAGCTTTGGATGTGATCGACACGGACAAATTCGATAGAGAAAATGGTCAAGTTATATATTGGGAAATGTTGTGGCCGAAACTTTTCTCAAATCGTGATTATGTTTTCGTACAAAAACATTTTATCGATAAACAACGTAACTTAATTTTAATCGTTAATAAATCAACTAAACATCCAAAATGTCCGGTTAGGCCGGGGTTACAACGGGTGAAAGAATATTGGAGTTTCATGGTGATTAAACCAAAGACAACTTTCAATGAACCTGGTCTTGAATTTATTTTAACATATTACGACAATCCAGGTGAGATTTAGATTTCTTGATTAAACAAAAAAATAATGAATAATATTGGTTTTTGAAGGTATTAAAATACCAGCTTATGTTACAAGTTGGGTTGCTCAACGTCAACTTCCAGATTTTATCGAGAAACTCTATAATGTGACTTTTAAGCATGCTGAAAATAGAAAATTAATGAAGTGGGAGGAAAATCATGACCCAGGTTATGAATATCCAAGTGATATTCGTTTAGATGAGTTTGAAAGCAATGCGGAAGATGAAATGGAAGATAATGTAAATAGTATGAACAGAACAAACGAAGATGAAGAAGAAGCAGCACAATATGCAACAAAAACTTGTGAAGAAAATGAAAACTCAGAATCGAGTGATCAGCAACGCAGATCGTGGTGGAGCTATCTTCTTCCGTATAATTATCTTCATTAGATTCAGCAGGTTGTTCTTACTTTTTTATACAGAAATAGAAAAGTAGTTTGAGACAGAAAAGATTCACTCATAATTTTGAAACTAATTGATTTAGAAAGGTTACAAATTGCGATTAAAATCATTTACTGATTGATAAATTCAAAAAAAAAATATGTTTTTGGTTTTTCTGATTTTGGTCATCACTTAATTACATTAAAACGTTTACATTATGACATGGTGAAAAGAAGCTTTTCGTTATCAGTGACGTTGCGATAAATAAAGTTAATAATTCTCGCGGAAAGGTAAACACTCGAGTCTCTTAGTAAAAAAAAGTAAAAACAACAATTTTAGAGGCGTGTGACAACGACGAATAATGATAAGAAAAGTTTGATTATGAGAATGAACATCAATCAACTTACTTTCTGTAGTACTTCATTGAAGTAGTCATACATTTGTAGCCGAATTGAAGAAAACATAAAAAAATTGCTTTCGTTGATAACATTTCACGAAAATAAAAATGTTCAAAATCAATTAAAATTTTAGAAAGAGTCGTTTAATTTTTCTTTTCACAATTTATTTCTAAAAAGCGACCAGACAAATCATCTATCAAAAACATTATTTTTATTTGAGTTCCTTAATGGTTTTGTTGATAATGTCCAATGACTCGTTTATTTGGGATTCATTTATGACGAGTGGTGGAGCGAGCCGAAGAATATAATCATGCGTTGGTTTTGATAAGAGTCCATTATCCTTTAGCTTCAAACAAAAGTCGAAAGCGCTGATTTTTTCACGATTAATTACGATAGCATTGAGAAGGCCTCGTCCACGATAAGCTTCAATGAAATCTTTGTCCATCTGACCAAGACCTTGTCGTAAAATTTTACCCATTTTCTCAGCATTTTCTGCGAGTTTTTCTTCTTCAATGACAGTGAGAGCCGCTATGCCAACTTTGGCAGCTAATGGGTTTCCTCCATATGTTGAACCATGCGTCCCTGGTTCAATGACGTCCATAACTTTCTTATCAGCTAATACTGCTGATATTGGGTAAAGGCCACCAGACAGAGCTTTTCCCAAAACAAGAACATCTGGTCGAATGTTTTCATGATCAACAGCTAGTCGCTTGCCAGTTCTGCCTAATCCTGTCTGAATCTCATCGGTTATGAGAAGAACATTGTGCTTGGTGCACAATTCTCTTGCCTTTTTTAAAAAGCCATCAGTTGGAATGACAACACCAGCCTCACCTTGGATTGGTTCAACCATAAAAGCAGCAACATTTGGGTCCCTGAGTTCCTCTTCTAGTCTCTCAATGTTATCGTATGGAATATTTATAAACCCAGGTACAAAAGGGCCGTAATTTTCATAAGCAGTTATATCAGTTGAAGACGACACAGCTGCAATCGAACGCCCCCAAAAATTATTTTCGCAAAAGATAATTTTTGCTTTGTTATTTGGAATTTTTTTCACAACATATCCCCATTTTCGTGCTAATTTTACAGCACTTTCAGCTGCTTCAACGCCTGTGTTCATTGGAAGCATCGTTTCCTTTAAAGAAATAAATAATTGCCTTTCTATAACATGCAAGGAATTTCATTTCATTTACGAATCCAAATAGTTTGGTAATAAATTCCGCATATTCAGCAAGCAAATCACTGTGAAATGCTCTTGAAGTATGGTAAAGAATTGAAGCTTGTTCAACCAAAGCCGCAACAATTTTAGGGTGACAATGACCTTGATTAACGCTCGAATAGCCACTAAGATAATCAAAATATTTTTTCCCATCTACATCCCAAAGATACACGCCTTTTCCACGTGATAGTACAGCAGGAACTGCAGCGTAGTTATGACAAGTTACATTTGTTTCACGCTTAATTATTTCACGAGTTTTTGGAGGGAGTGTCTCTAAATCAACCGCTTTTCCTAAACGTTGAATGCTTGAAGAAATACAACGAATTCCCACAGCTTGTTTTGCGATTCTCAACTAAATTATAAAAGATATTCCATATTAAAAAATCTATTTGGTGGTTCAAAATGAATTTATTTTTAGATTCGCATACTCTTTTTCATACCATTATTAACTTGCTTAGCTTAGTATATTCTTTTCTTTTTTTATTTAAATCTTCACTTCACAAAGTGTTGAAAGCAACTGACTAGTTGTTCAATATTCTGAGCATTATTATAAGAGAACTTTATTTGATGAGTTGACGTAGCTTGATATTTTTTTTACTTTTATTTGTAATTTTGAACGATTTCTTCTTGTTTATTTCTTTTGTTCATCAATTTGTTTTTACACAACACAAACAAATCCCAGTTATCGCAGTTTTTGCAAGAAGATGCTTATCTTCTTTCTTGACCTAGTCACCGTCACACACCCCAAAGTGACGAACTTCAAGTCCTTATCAGTCTATTGTTAACAAGCTTATAGTTTACAATTTCAGCTTTTTTTTGATAATGGATATTTATTTAGAATGAAATAAATGCTTTTAAGTATTAAGTTTCTCTTTTTTGCATACTCAATTATATGAGTACCTTTCCAAGCAGAAATATTATAAACCACATTGTCATTGAAATAGAAATTGTTAATATTAAGTATGTAATAAGTTGATAAGCACGAGAAATTCAAACTTAATTAACCTGTATAGTGGTTAATGAAAATGAATATCAAAATATGAATACGACAAGTTGGTTCATAATAAACATTAATACATTTTGTTGTGCTTTCCAAAATCGGTTTTTGTGCAACATCAACATAGTAAAATATGTTTACATCAATTAGGTAACATTCAATGATTTTCAAAACAAGAAAACCCTAGAAAATAATCTTCTAGCAGTAAGCAGAGATTTTAATTCTTAAATACACATTTTTGGCTTAAATATGCACAACCGATTGAATATATTCTTTATTAATTATAAATAATAAGAAGAAAAATATGTTTGCATCTGATTTAATTTAAAAAGTAAAAACAATCAGCAAATTCTGTCACACTAGTAGAAGCTCATTGATATTTGTGTCACTTAACTCAATATCTATTTCATCAAGTAAGTTTTAATTATTCAAATTCTTTCATTTTTCATTCCCTTATTCCTAATCCTATGACTTCCTGCACCTAAATCCCATTCATTCCCTTCTACTACATACTTAGTAGATATCTTTATAAAAAACGAACATAAGTACTTTTCGATACTATCGCAATTAAAGTTAAAGTTGATGAAAATAGAAACGTCCACTTATACATTTTTTATCGCAAAATCTTACAAGTTTGTTTCTGTTCTTTGATAAGAAGAATTTCTTACAAAAATATTTTCTTCGTTACCTTCAATTTTGCTTTTCGTGTAAGAATCTGACGATAATGAACGTGTTATCGACCATTCATTTTGTTTTAATAAAAACTTCTTCACATTATACTCCATTTGTGCAAGATCAAGTTTTCCATCATTTAATTCATCTGTTTGATTAATACTTGGATTATTCTCTACATGGGATTCCGATGAAACCACAACATTGAGTTGGCTTAGATTATTTTGAGCTTCTCCCTCACACCTAGAAATGTTTTCTTTTAAAATTTGGTTGCTTAATGGATCGTACTGGATTTTATGTTCTATAGAATTGTTATTTTGGTAGTCATCCACTCTCGATTGCTGCTGCTGCGGTTTGTTTTGTGTAATTGAGTTAGACTGATCATGTATAACAATGTCATTTGATTTTTGTTCGGGACTATTCGGATGTGGAATATTAGAACTGTTTTGCACCCACTCGGCGACTCTGTTGAATTGTTGACGTCTCAATGCAACGTTATCATGAATGTTTTTATCATCAGATACTGAATTGGAATATAGCTCAGGATTTTTGAAAGCTTTTTTGTTATTATCGACATATTCCGTATCAACGATTGACATCCTATCAACATTTGTTACCATGTCGTTACTTGCGGCGTCGTCAAGCTTTCCCATGTCGTTTTTTTCGGCGACTAAAATATCATCGTTTGCTATATTGATGTTGAGATTTTTGCTTTTATTGCTCGCAGTACTTATAGCCATTGACGACTGTGATGATTCAAAGTTCATTGGAACAGTGCCACTGATTTCTTTGTCATCATCCAATAACTCTTCATCTAAAAGGCGAGGTCTTCTCTTGTACATAGTTTGTGTCTTCTCACCTTGTGAATTATCTACTAAGATGTTATTTGATCCATCTTGAATTTTCACAGCACATATTCTCGGTGTTAATTTTCTTGGATTTTCCGCCTAAATGTTCAAGGAAAATTGAAGAAATTTTATTTTGGAGTAGGACTCGAAATTTGTTTTTAGATATTTCTCTTCTTGAAGTTTTAAGAAATTTGCACAAAACAATTAAAATATGATTGCAAAATGTTTATTACCCTCATAGCCTTGATAAGATTGCGATTGAAGCTTTCGAACAATTTCGCGCCTTCTCTACTGCTGGTTCGACTCCAAAGACTGTTGTTGCTGCCATTACCGGGGCCATGACTGAGAGTTAACGACTGACGTCTAGTCAACTTCTCATCACTATTTACTTTGGTTTCATTTGCTTTTTCTTGAACTTTCTGAGATTTATTTTCTATGTCATTCGTTGTTTTAGGCGTATGATGTCCATTGTCATTAGATATTTCTTCATCTTTCGGCTGAAAAGAGAAATTTTTTGTGTGCTCACAAAGCCGATGATGACCCAAGATAGGATTCACCATCAAATCGTCTTTCTTGGAAGGTGTTTTCTCATTGAGGTTTGTAAAGTCGGAAACTGAACTTTTCGTTTCTGATATGACGCTATCGCTTGATTTTAACTTGATCAGATAAGGACTATTGGTGTGCGAAGGTGAGTTAAGATTACTGTTACATCTAAGGCAATATAGAGTGTTTGTATCAGTTTGGGTCGCGGCATTAAAATTCCCATGAAATCCTTCAATAAGACGTTTTGAACTGCAAAAGCAAGTCTCACAATGTTTCGCATCTTTAGATTTTAACTCACTCTCAAGAAATTTTGCGACTACCATGGGGGATACTCTTAACTCACTGTTTTTATTCAAGTCTATTAGTTAGAGAGAAACAAAATGAAAATCAAGAATCAGAATGCTTTTAAATATTTACCCAATCCAGAAACTAAACCATTATTTAGAGCAATAGGAGTTTGTATGAAGTTTTTTCCACTTAAATGAGCATCTTCATCATTGGTTGGTAGAATTTGATATTTTCCTTTCGTTAAATTTCCAGTACTACTTTCTGAATCAGATTGAGAATCTAACTTCATGTAAGATGAAACTTTTGATTGCATTTCTAAAGGAAGCTAGAAAAATTATCGAGCAAATTATATTTAAATTACAATTTGATTTTAAATGCGTGCTTTGAAATAAAAATTTCAATGACTCACCGATGTTATTTTCTGAGGAAGAAAGTTATCCGGTTTACAATGTAAAAGTTGAATTGCTAAATTGATATCTTGTTTGTATCTCTCCTTTATAAGAAATAAATGATTTTCTAGATGTGATTTGATAATGATAAAATTGAGACTTACAATTTCTCGTTGCAAACTTGAGATATTATAATTTGCCTGATTCAAACGAATATTTAATGTAGCGCAATCGGAAGTTAGTTGAGCCCGCTCTCCAGAATTTCTATCAACTAATTTTAGTAATTTATCCTCAAGATTTTGATTGATTTTTTGAACTTTTTTATGTGACTCATACAGTCTTTCGAACTTGTCTTGCCAAGCAAGAACAACATCTTCCAATTCTCCTTGACGATCACTTTCTTGATAACATGACGATCTCATTGCATTTAGCTCCGCTTGTTTTTCAGCTAAAGCTTTTTTGAGAAGTTCTAGTTCAGCGAAAAGATGAACGTTACAGTTCTAAGAAAGAAAAAATCGTAAAGATTTTTTATTTCTCCTTTAGTTCTTTCTCTCTTTTTCTTTTCTTTCTTCAAAAAGTTATCAAAAATCAATATTATAACATAATTTTAATGAAAGAAACGCTACTTAGTAGTAATATAATTTACATATAAGCATTATTTGATTTGAATGATATATCTAACATGGAGATATAGGTAAAAGAGTTTACCTTATCTATCGTGTTTGATGACATTTTATTAAGGATTTGCGATTTTTTTCTTCTTCACTTATTTTTGATGTTAATCATATTATGAAATTATCCTTATAATTTTCCATCAGTTTCTAATGGAAATTTTCATTATATAATTTTATAAAGTTATTTGAAGCAGAACTTTTAAGCTTAAATGTGAATTTTATTTTTTTTTGTTTATTATCCTTAAAGCAGAAAAACTTCCCCAAGTCGAAAAGGATTTCACCACTAGACACTCCATGGCTTTCACCCTAAAATCCAAATGGCCACATCCAGCGAAATTAGGATTCTTAAACGTTTAAGAAAACGTACGCTTAGTTTACAAAAATTCTCTAAAGAGACATTTTGACGTATACCATTTCAATTACGCTTGTAAATACGTAACGTGTTCTACTATCTACGAATTTGCAGCGTAATAACAACATTGTTTAATAACGCTAACATTTGCCTTAAGTAACGCACAGGAGATTTCTTTCATAATGCTACCTAGTATATTGTACATAATATCAGAATGATGTGAGAGATTAAAATTTAAAACATTAATAAAAGATTAATCTATTAAAGATTTTTAATCAGACGTTTTTTAAAGAAGTTTAAACTTTTGTAGAAGGAAAATGGAAAAATTTATTCCTCTACTTTCCTTCCGAGGGAAATCAAGTTCAATATTTTCGGTTATATTCAATGATCTCTTAATAAATTTTATGCATTTTTAACTGTCTCATAATGATTTTTGCTAAAATATATATCTGAAAGATCAAACAAACCTGAGATTAAAGATAACAAAGTCACTTTTAACATAAATTCATTAATGATTTGCTTGTTTTTTAAACTGAAAATATGAAAAATTTAATACGTACCTTTCTTCTAAAGATGTCTTTGCATTTATTTTAAATGCTCTTAATTTTTCAACTGCGTTATTCGAATGTCAATCTATAAGAATACTGAAATTATTTATCCTCATATCTAATTATTTACTGCGTGATTTCTGATTTTTGAATGGACGAAAACGGAAAGAGTTTATTCAATGTTGACCCTAGACTTGACCATAAGCTTAAAAAAAAAGTATTCATTGTTGTGTTAATTTATTTCTCGTCACAAAATCAAAATTTTTAATTGTCTTAATTAGTATTCAATGACAAATATGTCTCCTCATTTAATATCATATAGGTATGTATAGTCTATTTAAAAGACAACATTAGAAATATTTTTTAAGAGGATTCAAGTTCTGCATTCAAACAATTTTGTTTTGCATCTTCTATTTTTTTTAATTTATTTTTGATTTCCAGTTCCTCGATCTCTTGTAGGACAAACGCCAACTCGTTCTAAGCTCACATCTAAAACGAAAAAAGAACATTTTACCATGCTTCTAAAGTATCTTAAAGTAAAAAGAACTTTCTATATATTTTCGCATTAAATGAGAGGCTTTTTAACTCAATCAAAAAATTGGCTATAAACGGACGATATTAAAAATATTAAATTAACTTACCAGCCGGAAATAATATTCTTTGATTTTTTTTAATGTTTAAATGAGGAATTTTCGAAATTATTTTAATTTGGAGGGATTCCGCTTATTACGACTGACACAAGTGGTCGACATGTTCCTTGCCTATGAGTTCTTACATCTGAAATTTATGTACGGAAAAGCCTAAAGTCTTAAAATCTTATTTTTTTTGTTGAAAAGAGTGCATTGTGCAAGGTGAATAACATGCCGTTATCAGTGATATCTAATTAAAAAACGTTGCAAATACGTGAATATGATTTTCTATCAACACAAAAATAAAATATTTAAAATTAGCTTATTTGATATCCATTAACTGCCTCATTATTTATATATTGATTAAGCTTTCAGAGTGCTAATAGAAATATTAATGCTTCATTAAGACGTCAATAATGTTAGTATCAAATTGATAAATGTTTCAACTGTTTCCATAAGTCCGTTAGATTAGGTATTAGTATTCCTTATCGGAAAACAATTCTAATAAACAAAATAATACTCACTGGCGCCACAATCTCTTGCGCAATCAAGTCTTGCCTGGTTATGGTAGTTTTGTTGGTCAGTTCCACAAACAGGATTGTATTGTGAAGTAGTTCTAGCAATACAAGTATCGACACATTGCTGAACTGCGGGAGCTAATGTAGTTGGAGCGGGAGTGGGAGCTGGTGGTGTCGTTTGAGTAAATTGATTTTGCGATTGTTGATTGTTAGGGATTTGATTATTCAAACCTCCTTGACTTCCCTGATTAAATTGCTGCTGATTACCTTGATTTGTTACAGGCCTTTGCTGATTGTTAGGGAATTGATTATTAAAACCTCCTTGATTTCCCTGATTAAATTGCTGCTGATTTCCTTGATTTGTCACAGGCCTTTGTTGATTGAACTGATTTCCTTGATTTGTTACAGGCCTTTGTTGATTAAACTGATTTCCTTGATTGATACCTGGTCTTTGCTGATTTTGATTAAAGTTATTAAATTGTGGCGGGAAAAACTGATTTCCAAATTGATTTCCTGAAGTGGATGGAAATTGGAATGAACCTGGGAAGACCTGTCTTTGAACTCTTTCAATCGTTGCACAATTACAACAAATGAATCCTGGAAAAGAATCAAAAGTTGAATAACTTTCAGTGTGAAGAACATAAAAATGAAATACCTGCAACAAGAATAGTAATTAAACACCTCATCGTATTTATTTTAAATGTTAGATAGACAAGCGCAAAAGAAGAACTAACTTTTTAGAAATCAAAGCAGTTCTTAAGAAACCTGCTGATAGGAATGTATGGGTTAATTACTTACTGTTGTTCAACTCTCACCACAAGGAAATAAATAAATATTTATTCACTATTGTAAATGTATTCTGCGTGCAAAATATTTAAAAAATTCAAGAATATCGATGGTCACGTTTTAATGATTAATTTATGGGTTTTTTGGTAGATTTACATTTCGTTACAGCTTTTAAAGTTTAGTTTACATTTACATATTATTTTCATAGGGCAAGAAAAAAAATGTTAACAAACTTTTTAGACCAAGAATAAACGAAACAATATTGGACTTTTTTTTTCATTCATTCAGTCTTCTTATTCAACTTCTTCTCAGGTAATCTCTTCATTAAAAAATATGACCTATATGATATTGATAAGCTTTCATTCCCTGAATTAAACTTTATTACTTTTATCTGTATTTTTTTATAAATAAATATTCCATAAAACATTACAGGACATACAAAATAATTATTTAAACAATAATTAGAATTATCTTGCTTCAAGCATAATTTTATATTCTTCTAAAATAAATGCTTTAAGCACTCAGCTTTTACAATATTATTTTTCCTTTTAATGTAAACATCTAATTTAAATTACTTATTTATCTATGATTGAATTTCTAATAATTGAGTGTAATTTCAAAATGTTTTACAATATAATGTTTCAATTAAAATAAAGAATATTTTTGAAATGTGTTGTTTCTCTAATTGAAATGAAACGAAATATATTTTTTTAAAAGAAACTTGAAAAGAAGAAAGAAGAAGAGTTCGCAGCGAACTTAATATTATACGACTTCGTAAAACCAACACAAACATGTTTAGCCGCAAAAAACCGAGAGCATAGTTGATCAAATTGTAAAAATTGTTCACATTCAGTTCAACCTAGACATGGACTTGCGTAACTATACAACAACTTTGTCGCGTGCTTTTTAAGGTGTAGAAAATTATTTTTATGCAGTTATCTATCTGCTCTCATTAATGAAACAAAGTTTTGAGAAATAAAGTGTCGGCAAGAATAAAAGTAATTTTGAATGTATCAATAAATGCACAAAGAAAGGTCGAATTTAATTATTCGTAATTTTCAATGGAAAATAATTTCCATGCTGCGATATGTTTGATATAAAATGCATACAACAGCTGTCTGAACATTGGTTAAACATTCACCTACATTGGCAGCTTTTCACCTACAAAAAATATAAGAAATAGGTACTGAAAGGAATCTTGGTCATTCAAAATGTTACAAATAAAATTATGCCTAATCGAATAGATTTTATTGTAGATGGAAGTAGAAAAAAAAACAAATAAATTAATAAAATAAAACTGAAACAACGTAGTGGAAAATAGGCAGTATTTAAAGCGTGTCAGTCTAGATATAATTAAAGCGAATAAAAGTGCTAAGGTTATGGAGAATAATTAAACATATTATAAAATACTGTAGTGATGAATTTAAAAGCGATAAATTAGGTTTAAAATGAAAAAATTAATAAATTTTCTTCTTTGATGAGCTGAAAATTTTTTTAGAGATCCTTAGTAAGGGAAAACTTATTTTATGTAAAAAAAAATGTCTGAGAATACTTGAAGTTTTACAATTTTTTTCATCACTTCTTCTTTATTCTGAAAATAGCGAGTGACTTTCTTTGCAATACATAAAGACCTTTTACTTCATAGTGTGTGGTGGAATCAAAAGAAGGAAAAAAAAATGTTGTGAAAAACAGTATGTGTAGACAAAATATATCAGATTATTTATACAATGTGTCTACATTAATGTAGCTTTTTTCGAGAAGAAAATATGAACAAAAATAATAAATTAAAGATATTTGATGACTATGGAAATATAATTGAAGTGTTAAATATCATATCCTAGAACTTTTGTGTATTAATTGTAAGAATATTTTCCAGAAGTGTCATTAGAAATAAATTGAGAAAGGAATCTAAAAATCAAATGTGATGCAAAAAAACTTATTTATAAGTGTGTCTTTAATTTCAAGACAAGAGTGTGAGGTCATTACAAAAAATATTTGATATAAATTCAGTGACAAATTGTGGCCAGAAACAAAATCTTCAATTGTGCTGTTTTAGGGCTGGCGTTCACTGCCATAGGGTTGTTGCTTATGCCCCTATGGGCCAATGGTCAAGCGGTGTCAGCTAGTGCAACAAATTCTATAACAACAACGACTTATCGCTGTGATGATTTTAAAAAAATCAATGCAAAAACAAGTAGCTCCTCATTTGTCACCAATGAATGGTACAGTTTGTCAGTTAATGATAGGCTATGTAAATATTTCTCCGATAAGACAATTCTCAGGAGAATGAAATATAGAAAAAGCGCTCGTATATATATGAATACTGATAAAAGTAGCAATGAACCTATTAGAATAAAAAGTTCAAAGAATTTACATGAACGGCAAGTGCGATCATTGGAGCGTTATAACAAGTTCACAAAAAAGTATAACGACGGCCAGAACTCTTTCAAAAATATTGAAAAAAAAGGTGACAATTTTATTAGAAATATATCGCATGAGGTTGGGCAACGTAATATTATGAACAATGGAACAGTCACATTGGAAAATACTACACTTATATCAAGAGAACCTGATGATGAAGGAAATGGTCAGAAGCAAGCATCAGATAAAATTCCTTTCAATGTAAATGGTAAGTAGTTGTCATTTAGAACTTTGAAAGTATTAAAATTATTTCACGTTAGCATTTAAATGAAGACGGTGTATAAATGTTCAGTCACTTAAAAACGACAAAAAAAAATTATGTGAAGAGTTAATATCAAGAAAAGGTTTACTAGAAATGAAACTCAAATAACTTGTATTGTGTATTTGAACTTTCATTGCACTTAAGATATTTATTTAAACTTGACGCCGTAGGTAAACGTTTCTCTGCAATCAGACTTTTGTTATTGATGGCAGTTTAAATTTCTTCACTGTTTCAGACATGTACATATGTACATATATGTATGTACATAAATATATTTAATTGTATTTTGCTGTTGTTGCGTCTGAATATGAAGTTTAATATATCTACTCAGAATTTTTGACTGTCTCTGCCGACTCCCATTCAGAGGAAATAACGAAGAATATACACAAACGATGCAACAAACTATGTACGTCAAGTGCAACAACTTATAATATCAACGAAGAGCAACATGAAGCATATAAGTCTGCTGTTTCATATCATATATCGAGATAATTTATTGCATTGTTAATAATTGGACGGGTTTGAAGACTAAATACGAAATTGAAGTTATTTTTTATGTTGCCATTTTTTATTGTGAAGGCATACTTGATAACAATGTTGTCGTGTCTGCGGATGGAATTAACTTCGTTTAATTGTTTTTACTGCTTCTCGTTTTTTTTTATTTCAATTCTACTCAAACCTGTTCAAATGCAAGAAGATATACATTATGAAGCAAGCTTCAAGTGTTTTTGAAGACATTCACTCGTTTGGTTGGGTTAAACGACACCAGTTTGAGAATAAGAAGTTTATTCTCTTGTAAATAACTGCAACCATGATTCAAGATTCGTTATATGAGAACAAGCGAGAAGGTTCATTTGAAGCGAAGTATTTACATGCATAGCTTGAACAAGAAACTTCGATATGAAGAGTCAGTGTTCTAATTTCCCATGTAATATTACACATAAAACTTCAGATTTCAGTACCTTGAGTTGCTTGTTTTTTTTCTTTGCAATTGAATATCTTTTCATATTATTTTTGTTAAATTATGCCTCAGAAAAATTAAACGTAGTCATTTGTGTAGGTAAGGACATTTTGTCTATCTCCTTTCTGCTTTTAAACAATTTGCTTTCAACAAAGACATTCGCGAATGCAACGATGTTGCACATCTGTATATAATATAATGACACTGAAAATTTGAAATTTCCGAATGTCATGCGCGTTTTCAAACAGTTTTCGCGCCGAGAGCGAACGTAGAGAGTTTCCTAGCAGCATTAAAAATCATTTTACATGTGATTTTAAAAGAGTTTCTTACATAAAATATAATTTGTACATACGCTTATGTACTTTTGTTCGACAAGAAAAAATTTGCTGAGGGGAGAATGAAAATATTCAGACGATTTGAGAAGAATAATGGAAAAAAGAGGCATCACGATGAAAATAAAACTGTGAAACTTGTTCGTTGGTAGTGCGGTTTTTCATGCTGTGTATAAGTGCAATCAAACCAGTCTAAAACGCTCTCAGCCGATTCAAATACAAAATACATTTTTCTCACACATATATCTATTCTCGATAGCCGAGAGTCTTACTCCCTTCAACTCGATGAACGATGATTTGACTCTCATACAAGCATGCTTGGATATTTTGTTAAGTCGATGATACTGAATAAAAACTGAAATTGTTTCTCTGTGTGAGTACGAGACAGTTTAATACAGAGGTACGAATAATAATATCAAGAATATTATTTGAAAAAAAAATTGTTCAAGTAAAAAATGCGACAAAGCACAGAGCGTCTAGCCGTTTCGTCAGATATTTGGATTGTGAGACTTCAGTAGTCTAATAAGAACTGTACAGACATGATTGAAATTGCGTTTCTTTAAATTTTCGTATTTTTCTCAGTGTTTACCAGACATTTAAACACAACAGACTATTATCATAATAAATATTTATTTTCGAGAAGTGCAATTCGCCACCGCAACAGAAGACGTCAGTGACAATTTTTTTTTCGTCAAAGCTCCTACAAGTTGCAGTTCAGAACTTTTAATGAGTCAATCGTTTTAAATATTTGTGTGATAACAAAGATTTAATTAAATTTATGAACTCTGCGATTAAATTGGAGACATTTTCCTGAACGTAAAAGAATGTATTAAAATAAGTAAAAAAAATTGTCGATGTAATGGACATTCAAGATTAATAAAAGCTTAAAAGTAAGTGCATACAACGGCAACCGACACAAAAAAAAACGTCTGTCTCGTTTGAAAATCATTAATGCCCTTCTCACTCTTCTTCACTTGGGGAGATTCGCGAACAGAACAAAAAGTTGCAAAACCGAATGCAATTGATGCAAATTTCTTATATATATTTGTATGTATATAATTTTTTTTGGTACTCAACAACAACAGGTCAAGAGACGAAATGGAATGAGAAGATTAAATTAAAATATCGCCTTAAATACGTACATAAAAATTTCTGTGATTATTATTTTTGTTTATTCCAAATAATTTCTTATTCTATTAAACATTGTTTCCAAAACAATTTTCATCGAATTAGACATGACGTCATTGAAGAGAAAAAATAGGGAAAAATTCAAATAAGTTGATATTTGTTAAGATATTGAACTAGTTTACTTTGCTTGGCCTGTTGTTGCTGATGGGTAATTGACAAATGAATAGGATCTTGAAATATATAATAAAATAGACTAATTATTTGAATATCAATTTTTTTCCAGGATCCCTTAAATTAGTATTCGCTTTATTGACAGTTCTCGGCATCCTTATATCAATCGCAAGTATTATCTATTGTTTTTGGACAACACGCAGATCTGCTTCAGGCTTAGTGCAAGTTCAAAGAAGGTTGTCTGATAACGAAAACAATCATCTTAATCAATCATTACCAAATTTTGAAGCACTAGTAAGTGTTTTGTATAACTGAAGTTCCTGAGAAATTTAAACTAATAACTTTTAATATACTTTTAATATCCATACTTATTAATGAGTTAAATGAAAGATTCTCTCGATTTTTTAATTTAATTTTAATTTAACATTTTTTATTGTCAATATGCTGAACGAGAGCCTTTGATTTAATCTGAGAATTCTATCGTTGCTAACTAACATTGCTATCGAAATAAGAAGCTATTTTTATAACTCTTAGATGTTATTCTTGTTATGTGACCCGAATATAATTTATTAAATGAATACTTTTGTTTTTTTTTTGTATCTTAGATGCTATCAGTACAGAATCTTGGCTGCGCTGGAATGGAGCGGCTTGGGATTCCGGCTAGCACGGCAATGGGAGCTCCACACTCGTCACAACGAGATGACAGGTCAGTAAATATTTCCTTTTACTTGAATGTAATCTTATCAATTTTACATATTTCGCAGTAGAAGTATTAGACGATCCACATTTCCAACACAACATGATCTCATAATCTCAGCGAATCGAAAGACTCAAAATTTACTTGAGGAATCTAAGACAGAACCAAAATTAGGGATCAATTCGGAAGCATATGAAAGTTATAAGCGTTGTAATGTATATACTAGTTGTAGTTTAAATACCAATTGTCCGCCACACATTCATCGACATGATGGTGAATTTGGGCGCGATCGCATTTGCAACAGTTTAAGCCAGGTGAGTCGATAAGAATAGTTTTTTTTAATGATATTTGATGAAATACTTATTCACGACGTTTACATTTTGTAGCATAATGCTGAGATAAAGCGAAGCTATATACAAGCACCTCCTAATAAATCCATTCAAGATGTTCCTGATGCTACTCAGTCACTCCACACTTCTTATTACCGGCAGCTTAATAGCCATAGGCAGCCCAACAGAAGTGAGAAAATGAAGATACAAGATGCTTTTGATGTTTCACAACCATTTCAAAATTCAAACAAAAAGATGGGAGAAAAGGTGAAAGGATTCTTTATGAAAATCATCGACAACGGAAGCAGCGGATCAGGTTCTCAAAAGATTGCAAATTCAGAAAATAAAGTTCATAATAACACATCCACAACACATCGATCGACATACATTGCATCATCTGAATCTTCCAATGGGTTGAAAGACGATAGCAATGAATTACTTTTAAATGGAAGTACAAACTTACATTCTAAATCATACGATAGTAATAATAGTTTACTTTTGGGAACTGCTTCGAAAACTTCACTTAAGCCGTCGTCTTCATCTTCTTCGTCATTGTCGTCGGGGCCAAGTCCGGATCATCATAACTGTCTATGACAAAATATAATAATTTAGACTATTAGGTACTTTGAAAACAGTTAGTTAATAAATATTCAATTAAACATGCCCAGAATATTTAATCGAAGACATTTGAAAATGGAAATGAAAAGTAATGAAATAATATTAATGCGTCCATTTAAATAAAGCATGATATTGATAAACAATTCTACACACAAAACCCAAAATAACCTTTTTTTTTATTTTCGATTATTTATTAGCAAAACTCAAGATAGATGAAGAATGTGAAAAATGAATTAAGTAGAAGAATGAAGGATGCGTATGGAAATGCGTAATTTTAACAAAGTGTACGCATTTGCCAAAATAATAATACTAATAATAATAATAATAATAATATCTAATATAAATAAATACATAGTTCTTTTAATTTAAATACTGTTAATTTGTTAAGGAAATTAAAAATCAATGAATAAATGAAACTAGCATGAAACTACCTAAGGCTTCAAGACCTAATCATCCTTAGATATTAGATTAAAAGAAAGCAACTAAATTATATTAATATGACAATGAATAGAAACCTTTAATTCTCTATTTTTCTGTGCAAAGAAATATATTTCAATCATAAAAAAGAACGAAAAAATAATAATAATGATAAAATGGAGACTGTCGTTTTATGATTTATGTTTAGCTCATTGCACTTTGATGTGCTTGTTTTCAGATTTAAATGGGAAAACTTTGTAATCTGCACTTTTTTTTCGGACGTAAAACACGAAAGAAAAGATTCATGAAAGACCTTCATCATCTTGTTATACAAATCGCAAATATTTCCTATTTAAATGTTTATTAAGTACATTTGAGAAAATATTGAGGGACAAATTGTAATTGCGCAACAAAAGAAATGTAAAAGCAAGTGGTTATTTAATTTAAATCTCTGTTCTGTTTAAGATGAGGGTGTTGAGGACGATTTAGCTAAATAATAAAGAAAAAAAATACAATTCCATGATTATAGATCCAAAACTGTTCTGTGTGTTTATTTCATCCCCATATTGTGTCACGACCATTACGGTGGAAGGGGTTGTCTAGACATTTGATAGTACAACATAAAAAATCTAAATGCATAAAAGCTACATTATTATTAGGAGACTTTGTGGAGCAAATAAAAGATGAAAAGTTTTTAAACATAAACTCATGCACTGCTTTCGCTATGATAAGTATGTCAATTAAGGCCTCAACAGACGAACTCAAATTTTACGAAGACGAAATTAATTTTTTTTTTCTCTTTATTCACTTGTACGCAGCGCGGCTATACTGTCTCATCGGCGCAGTTCTTCTTCTTCCTACTGACTGCAATTCTTTTTTTCAATGTCAGACAAAACTCACGCTCTACACACATCCTACCACCACCCTCTTGACCTTGAGACAGTATGTAAGCTACACACATAAAAGTGTTTCCTGAACGCAAAGAAGAAGAAGAATGTAAACGTTACAAGCAAATGATATTTATTTTTATTCTCTGTTTTTAGAAGTTATTTTTGATGATTAAATAGGTGTCGTGGAATATTTTTTGTTCATTGGAATATTTGAAAAAATCTTATCATCTAAATTACTAAAAACAACATGATAAACGATATCAATAAAATCGTTCCATGCTTGTTTGCCTTCATCGTCCAAATGACATACTTGTGAAAGTACTTCGATAATAATTTCTCGCAACTCTACGAAAGCTCGTTTAGGAATGCCGCGCCTTTTATGACTGCGGCCCATGTCATTTAGTAGACGGATTATTTCGTCAATCCCTCCCTGTTTATCCAGGCAGTCGACAGAGATTCCGAAAACATTCCTTGAAATCGAAATTGATTATTATAAAACTTTAGATCAAGTTACTTAATAAAATAAATCGATACAAACATAATTTTGTTTGCATGGCTTCTGAAACCAGGAGTGCCTGAAATATTTTTAAGTGAAAACAGAATCTAAAAATCAACAAAGTTTAAATTTCAGACCTTTAAGCATCATCAGCGGAGTGTTCCTAAAAGCAGCAAATTTCTGCTGATTATGCGGAAATCTTTCAAGAAACATATACAAAATGCGTTCTCCAGAATCTAAGGGCTTTTTAAAAAAGTTTCAAACAGTTTGAACCGATATTAAAAAAGAAATGAGGTAACTTACTTTTGCAGACGGAATTTCCCAAGTCTGCTTAATGATTTTTATCTGATCATCTGAGAGATTTTTCATCTCAGGAATTGGGATTTCGTCGGAACGAATTATTTTATTTTGAATATTGCTTATAATATTTCCCATAATTCAAAGGTACGAAGATCCAATCTGTTAAAGTTTCAAATTAATTGTGAATATAATTTTTTGTTATTGGAGAAACATTCTTTAGTTCATTATCAAATGTTTTATATATAATTAATTTTATTGAAGAAATAGGCACTTAAACATGCCAATATCATTTTGATAAAAATGACATCTTGTCACGTGAAATTCTAATTACTAGCAATATATAATGTCATTTTATTTCTCGTCTTTTCTATTTTATTTTAAGTTCTTTATAAAGAAACCTAATGAAGAAATTTTCATCCAATTGAAACAAAATAGAAAATATTCATCAAACTTCTGTCATTCTACTTGACATGCAATTACAATAATTGAAGAAAAGAATAAAATAGTAAAAAGAATTTGCCATCATCATCATTTGATCATTTGTAAGTAAGCTTTTTTAAGGGAGTTTTACATCACTTCATTCATTTAAACACGTGCCTGTAAGAAAAATTTCTCATTTCAAAGTCAATATTATCAAGAGAAGGAAGTAGTGAACGCATAATTTTACAAGAGAATCTCCATCTGTTAGATATGAACAAACTTATTGAATGATAATTCAGGAAAAATGGAAAACTTTCAATAGTGAGTTTAAACCCAGAACTTGATTCATTTCAGTTTCTCTTCATTCGTCATTGAGTGAGAATAAAGATGTTCAAATTCAACTTTTTCCCATCAAAGAAATTTCGTTAGGTTATCAGATTCAACTCAAACAGATTTAGAGTATTCTTGATATAACGCCGTTTTGATACAATGATACTCTGAGTAGTTCGATTTTAACTCGAACGTACGCTTTTAAAGATGACCTCGATTTTAAGTAGTAAAATATTGAAAAAGTTTTAGAAAAATTTAACATCATTAATAGAGCTATTAATAAAATTCTCGATATGGTATTTGAACCTCCAATGAAATAGAATTTGTTTCTAGGAAATAAGACTGAAACGATAAAACTTATTCATAATAAATCTCAGTACAAGAAACAATATTGAAAAAGCTTTATAAAAATTTCTCTTTATTATTTGGTTATTTAGGTCACCTTGAAATAAAATTCTCGCCATGGTATTTAAACCTCTTAAGGATTTCCGATGAAATAGAATTTGTTTCTAGGAAACGATAAAACTTATTCATAATAAATCTCAATACAAGAAACAATATTGAAAAAGCTTCAAAAAAATTTAACATTATTAATGAATTTTTGCTCAATAAAATTTATTTCTTTAATATCAATAACTAAAATTAAGCATTTGTTAGAGAGAAGATAAAATCTGAGGAAAATAAATTTTAAAATAAATCGAAGTCTTAATCAAAATATTTTTATCTGTATCTAGATACATAGCTTAAACCTTTCAGACTAGGTAAACTAATTTTTTTTTTCAGTAAATAAAAATTATAGTAAATGGTTTTAAACTTTTATTAGGTACCTATCTAGTTGTTTTGTTCTACATTTCTGTATCTATTACTAATTTAATAAAGCATAATTAATAGACAATTACTTAAAATCTTGCTTTTTAAAATAAAAACACACCTACATACATACACACAGAATTTGTATTACAATTTTTATCAGAGATGGGCAAGTTGCACGCTCAACTCGATTGACTGACTGACTGACATGTCAATGTCTGTCAGTCAGTCTGTCAGTCAGTCAAAATCGCAAACAAAAATGTTCGATTGTTGGGAAGCGTTCATACAAATGTTCCGCTCAAGTCGTTTGACTGACTG